ATTAAATTGCTCTTTAGTGCTTTAGCTTTTTTAAATTTCAAAAGAAAGTAAACTAAATAATACATTAGTTAATATTTAAAGACTTAATGTTTATGTAATATTTTAGTAAAATAAATGCATACACAGCATTTTCTAAAAAAAAAATTAAGACATGAGCATTCTCAGACAAAAACAGTTTCATGACACTTGTATATTTCTTAACACATTAAAAACTTTTAAGTATATTATAAATATTATATAGCAGCATCCACAATTTTGAATGGACTGTGATTGGAACAAGTTTTCCATAAAAAAAAATTACTACGAAGCCAGACAGAGATTTTTCTACAAATTTAAAGAACTTTTAGTATCTTCCATGCAGTGAAAGTTTTTTTACCACCTTCTGTTTTATAGAGACGTTAATGTTTATGCCTTAGTACTTTAAGTATGGTTTATGTGCATACTATAGATGTACGTACTATCTGTAAGCATGATGGATTTAATGGCTGCAGCTTACTGTCAATCTTGATCTGCCATGGTTCTAGGTTTCCTCATGATTGATGGTTTGATGGCTGTTTGGTTTAATTCTGTGCCACCTTCTACTTATCTGTATCTTCCTCCTGCTTAAATAAGGAGCACACACGCACACAGGTTAATTTAATGGAATTCATCTTTTTACAGACTGTATTCCTTAACCTATTCATCATAAAAATTGAAGTACTCTCCTCTCTTGTGGCTATTTTATTGTATTTTTTTAATGACGTTTAAATAATGTATTAGAAGAGTGGACAACATGAGCATCATCCAAGATTTGAAACTGCCGATTACTGCACAAGATTTTCTAATCTTCTCCAAAGAGATTAAAAGTTTGTTAATATGAAAATGTACTACCATCAGATTTATAAAAAAAATAAAATAGGGACTGAGGGAACTAAAAAATTGAGCACTTGTTGGTCAAAACAATTACTGTGGATTCATTGTTATTCGTTGGATACCAATTTTCGTGGATTTTGTGGGAACAGGTAAACCACGAAATTAAATGTTCAACGAATGACAAATTTTCTATAGGTTTGTATGCAGGTTTCGGCAAAACCACGAAATTAAATATCCACGAACATGCAAGTTTTCCTTAATCCTTGAAAATTGGTACCCATGAAAAAAATTGATTCCACATGTACAGTATATTAATCTCTTAGAATAATTTAGAAATAAAGAAAGAAAAATTGTATTGAAATTAAAATAATACCGATATATATATATATATATAATTGAAACAGAAATATCATAAATTGTGAAAAAAAAATGTCTTTGAACTTTGAAGGATTAAATAAGTCGCATGCTTTAGTACTGTTGGTGGTACCTGATTCTGAAAACAATGCAATTGAAATATTAATCCTGTATTCCCGCTTGCTTACAAGGATCTCTCGAAGATCCCTTCTGCTTTCTGGTATGACAATTATTATGTCAATGAATCATATCTGCCTCCAAATTTTTGAAGGGACGTATCTTTACATAAAAAATCTTGGAGGTTCTAAAAAGATCATCAAGACACAGTAACAAATGTCCTTTTTACAGCCAATGAAAGGGAAGCGTGCATGAACACGCCACGATCGTTACTTTAATCACGTGATAGCGAGAAAGATTCAGGCATAGCCAGATATGTATGGATTTTTAGTGCAAATATGAACAGTATCAATTCAACGAAATTGCTCATTTTTCAAGAATGCAAGAATCAGTTGCACATATTGCAAATGTAACATGCAGTTGTTTTAGTGCATAGCTGTTTTGCATTTAAGAAATGTTTTGATAGCGATCATGTGATTTATGCAAATCTAGGATGGTAGCGCAGCAGAACATTAACTTTTGCACAAATGCATCTGACCATGTGCAGATGCACTAAAGATGTGATGTGCACTTGATAAGGTATCTTGTAAAACAAGGATAGGGAAAGAAATGACGTGGAACAGAAAATTCGGTCAAATAGGTTGATGAAAATGTGATTTACTTTAAGGAATGACTGTAATATTTTTTCTGTCTATGAAGAAATAACATCAATAATGTGGTGCACACTGAATAACCCGCGTAGGGCGTAATTTAAAAGTGTCCACGGTGCACCACATTTTTTAGGTTATTTCGAATAGACAGAAAAAATATTACAGTCATTCCTTATAATTTAATTCTAAATTCCATTTTTTAGGAGTAAATCATGAAAAAAACGTTGATGACGTGCTACATCCAAAATTAAATTACTTTAAAATATATATGCTTTATCATCTGAAGTAACATAAGGGTTTGAATAACTTTTGGTATTAGTTGATGGACTACCGATAAGTTAGTACTAAATCATTGAATTTTATAATGAACAAGACCAAATGAAGACGTAACTGAGTGAAAGCGTTGAATAAAATTTTACAGAGGTTCTGAAGGTTTTTTGGACCTCAGTGGTCTCTTAGTCAAGCATTACGGGTCCAGTCAGTGTTTTAGCAGTCTATTACATATTGAGTATTACAAAATTCTTTTATCTACACTTAAGTCATTTGGTCCAGTAATTGATGACATTTTACTGGACCAAACCATTTATTACTGGATATTGCCACATGTCTGACGGACCTTGGGAATGACTGCATGATATTATAGATTCTATTTCATCCAGTATAGAGTATATAAACACAGCTCTTGATTGCCATCGTTCATCACATCAAAAAAATTCACAAGAACATGACAGCCATGTTTTTCCTCATGAATATGTATTATAGTGATGAAAATCATCATTATGACATTTCTTCTTCTTCTTCTTTAAGTTTCTAGCGATCCTTCAATTATTGAAGATTATTCGCCGGGCGTCGACTATAAAATTTTATAATTTACATTGTAGCAAGAAAAATAAAAAGAAACAAAATCAAAAAATCAAAATAATGTATGTACATTTGTAAAATTTCATTTAGATAAAACTATATACATTTGATAACAAAATAGTTAGGGATAGAAAATGGGGATGAGAGCAGATTCTGAGATCATACTCTTGAATCCCTGTACTGTACTGCATGATACTATTTGTTGTGGCAGAAGATTCCAATCTATAACTGTTCGTGGATAAAATGAATATTTATAACTGTCTTTAGATGTTTGTATTTGCCTAAATGAGTGTGGATTGCTATGTCTAGTTCTATTGTCTAGTGGGATCAAAAGGTTATATGTAGGGACTGCAACAATTTCATGTATAATTTTGTAGAAGAAGACAAGTCTGTATCGTAAACGCCTAATTTCAAGTGGGTACATTTATAGAGAAGAAATGGCAATGTCACTTTTAAGCACCTTAAATCAAAAATCATAAAGTGTTAGAAATTAATCAATTATTAATAACAATCTGCAGCATGTTTAAAATATTAAAGATAAATGCATGTCATCAGATTTATTAATACATACTTGAACTATTTCACTTCCAAATTTAGTCACTGATGAGTCGTGTGATCAGCTATTACAGTTTCAAATGGAAACTTTTTAACGCAGCATGTAATTCTCAGTCTGACTTGGAAAATGGACCACATTTTTATGAATGCCCATATCAACTTGTGCAGTGTATTCATAGACCACCAACTGCAGCTGTCTACAGCAATTGCATGCTTATTTTGTTTTAATGCCTGCCAAAGTTTTATTGAAATCTCTCAAGTTTTTTGGTAAATTTATATAGATTATATCATGAATGATAGTGTAGGGTGAAGTGTAATTTAAGTAATACATTTTATATCACAAATAAAGACCTGTTGTTTTAAAACAAATTGTTCATTTCCTTTAATAATGTGAGGGTGGTAATGGGATTATCATTAAATGCAGTTGATTTTTTTTTAATAATGCTAACAATAAGGCAAAAGAGATAAATAAACTTGTTTTTCTGTCATTAATATATATGTAATGGTCCTATGTTGAAAAAAATGATTTCAATCGTATTAATGTTCATGAACTTGACATTGTTGAATAGTAGTATGTTTTGGCCTAATTTAGTATTAGTCTTCTTCTATCATAAATCTTTTTTAAACTAAGTATTTTGTGCATGCCTTACATTACCACCATACTATAGGGACATCACTCTGTTTGGTTTTTATGCCGCCGCCGAAATGGAGGGGGCATTAAGTTTTACCCTTGTCCGTCTGTCCATACATACGTAAGTACATCCCAAAATTGGTTTCCGTTCTCTAACTTAAGTTTGCCTCAACCAAATGTTATCAAACTTATACACAATGCTTATTAACAGAAAACACAGATCAAGTTTGAATTTTGGTGGCGTCACTTTAACAGTTCTAGAGTTTATATGCCCCTTTTTAAATGGAAAAATTGCAAAATTTTTCAATTTCCGTTCTCTAACTTAAGTTTGCCTCAACCAAATGTTATGAAACTTATACACAATGCTTATTACCACAATACACAGATCAAGTTTGAATTTTGGTGGGGTCACTTTTACTGTTCTAGAGTTATGCTCCTATACAAATGGAAAAATTGCTAAATTTTTCATTTTTATGCTAAAAATATCAATGATGTCATTGTTTAAGTAATTTTTAAAATTGGAGTTATCTTCCTTTGTCCATGATTACAGTTGAATCAACTACAATCAATGGTTTATACAATGCAATGTTTAATTTTGCCTTCCACTGATAAAACGCAGATCAAGTTGAATTTGGGTAGTGTCACTTTAACCATTATTGAGTTATGCCCCTTTATAAATAAAAAAATTGCTAAATTTTTAGTGTCCGTTCTGTAACTTAAGTTTGCCCCAACGAAACATGAAACCTATACACAATACTTATTACCACAAAACTAAGATCAAGTACAAATTTGGGTAGCGCCACTTTTATTGTTCTTAGTTATGTCCCTTTATAATGTTGTATGCAAGCAGGGGCATCATCTGTGTCCATGGGGACACATTCTCCATTTATTTGTTTGTACAGAATTAGTATTTGACAATATCAACCAGTACAATCAATTTTATATCTTTTTTAATAAACCGAATTTTTTTCCTTTTTCAGAAACAGAGGTGGACCTTATGGCAGCTGTTGGACTGCCACATCCAAGCAAAGGAGTTACATACGATGTTGGACTGGAAGGTTTTCCAGCTTTTAAGTTAGACAAATCAGCGTATATACGAAAAGCTGCTGAGACCTATTTTACTGACAGAATCGGCAAAATAAATGACTTTGCCATTGGAATTACTGTTAAAGTATTTTCTAAAGATGGATTTTTATTCGCTGTTAAAAATATTTATGAAAGTGTGATAGCTTTTGGTGTTCGGATTACTGCTGCTGGTAATGGGAAACATAACGTAGTTTTATATTATACAGAAGATCACCAGTATGGGCAAGTTTCAAAAGCTATTGGAAATTTTACTGTGGACAATATTGATAAAGATTCATTTACAAAATTAGCTATCAAAGTTCAAGGTGACACAGTAACGTTATTTGATAATTGTGAAGAAGTTGGACGTCAGCAGGTTGCAAATCGTAGACCCTTACAGTTTAATACAGGATCAGGTTTATATATAGGTCAAGGTGGACCGAATTTTGATGATACGTCATTTGAGGTAAAGTTCATTATTCAAAGATACTTACTTAATTTAACTTTAAGATGGTACCCTTATGTTACTGGTACTTTAATGGCAGCCATTTTTATTTATGTTTCTGAAGCTTCCTAGGTACAAAGATTAATCTAATTCTGTTTCACATGAATAGAAATAAATTAACATATGTAAACATTATAATACATGTACTACTCCATTGTAAAGAACCAATTTTCTGTTTGGAAAATTATCAAAGATAGATAACTCTGCATCAAAATGGAATGCTGACTAGCACATTCACCTCCCTTTAAGAATGAAATCTAACCCAAAAAGATAAAATACAGATCTATCATACTTTTACTATAGATATATGTTAACTTTTGAAACAAAAAATGTTAATAACAATCAATTAAAGATGAAAAAAGACAGGAAAAATATTTATTTGAATTATATTAATATATTTGTATTTTTTAAATTATTTTTTTTTGTGGCTCAAAAGAATCATCACGATGAAATTTCCATCAGTTGGACAAGTATGAAGCTGGAAAAACTTGTTTAAAAATTATGTGATGAATTTTATGACTTTATATATACTACAATAGTTAAATTATTTGTAAAAAAAGGCCATTTCGGGCTTGATTTTAATGGTCATTATTACCCATAGTTATATAAAATGTACCCTATACATGTACATATTTATAATTATGGTTCGTTGTCTTATGTTTGATGTTCTTGTAATTGAACATTGACACATTTTTTTATCTACATTCACAGACTTCCCATGACCTGATTTACCATCTTAGAATCGCCCACATAAAGCTTAAACGTAAACACAACAAAATACGTGTACAATGCTCATAATCAATTAAGGGGTCACATGATAGGTCAACTGCTTAAACAAGAAGGGGACATGTTAATTTATGTCATGGTGTCCCTATAAGGAAAAGGGACATAGTAAATTATGTCACTCTTCCCTAGCTGTCTAGACTTCCTGATGTTTGGCACTTGATCAACATACTTTAGGTAAGAATTAAATGAATATATAATAAGCTTACTGTGCATTCTTAAATGTAATGTTTTCACATGCTAATTTGTTAGGTATCTGCTCATCAGGCCAAAGTTAAAATTTTTGTGTTGTAAATATGAGAATTTCTTACATTTCACATAACCCCAATGATCCACTCATCATCAGGCTAAAGTGAACATTTTTGTGTTGTAAATATATGAGAATTTTTTTTTGCATTTCACTAACCCCCAATAATCCAGTCGTTGATATTGTCTGTCAACTAGGATAGATTATAGAGGGCACTGATTTATTCAAGTTGATATTTGACAGATCCTTTTTTATGATATTAGAGTTATCTCCCATTTGTTACAGATCAATTTGTCAATTTTGTATCCACTATAAAATTATATTTTGCATTTTTTTTTTATCAAAGAAGCTAGTGCTATGCATAGCTATTGTTAGGAGATAAAAGGAAATTACTTCTCACTATTGGCATCAGAGTTTTGTGTCTGTTTTTTTCAAGTTCACAGTCAGGTACTGGAACTTAAAAATAGGAATTTAAACATATTTTTTTGGTGACTAGGAATCTTTCAAGTACACATTTATTAATACAGAATTATCATACAGTGCATTCTCCATTTGGATAACCAATCCTACTCCCAAAAAAATCCAAATTAGCCAAACAAACCCGTGAATAATACCAAAATCTGGTTTTATTCATTCTAAAGTAATGAATAATTATACTCGAAAAAAATATTTCTACCACACTTTTTATGCGGTCGTATATTGGTATGACGTTGGCGTCGTTGTCGTCATCCGAAGACACATTGGTTTTCGCACAATAACTTTAGTTTAAGTGAATGGATCTCTATGAAATTTTACCATAAGGTTCAATACCACAAAAAGGAAGGTTGGGATTGATTTTGGGGGTTATGGTACCAACAGTTAAGGAATTAGGGGCCAAAAAGGGGCCAAAAATAAGCATTTTTGTAATTTCCAGACAATAACTTCTGTTTAAGTGTATGGATCTCTCTGAAATTATACCACAAGTTTCCATACCACAATGGGATGGTTAGGATTGGCTTTGGGGGGTTATGGCTCAAACCGTTTAGGAATTAGGGGCAAAAAAGGGGAAAAAACAAGGGTTTCCTGGTAAATGGACAATTTAAAAGCAGTGTAAGGGAGGTCATCCAAAAACAAAATTGTACAATGTTGGATTACCTCCCTTACACTGCTTTTAAATTATCTATTTAAGACTTTTATGATGTATTTAAATTGGTAATTATGGTTGCAAACTCCATTTGAAATTTGAATTGATATTATGACCATATCTTGAGGGAAAGAATATTTTTTTCTTGAAAAAGGGGGTAAAAAAGAAATTTTGGGGGGCAATTTTTTTTTTCATTTCTCAGATTTCACAAATTAAAAAGAAAATTTCTTCAAATATTTTCTTTTTTTCAAAAAAAAATGGGGGGGGTAAATACGCAACAGCATAGTGTATTGCACAAAAGCAAAAAATTGAATATAAATATAAATTCAAAATCATATAACCAATTCTAAGTTCATTGACTACAGTTATTTGGTGTCAGAAACCTATTATGTGTCAAATATTTAATTACAATCCAAATTCAGACCTGTATCAAGCGCGAATATTGTGTCCATTTTCGCCCCAACTGTTCAGGGTTGGACCTCTGCGGTCGTATCCAGCTGTGCTAAGCGAAGCATTTTATTTCATTTTGTAGAAGCACCTCCTTTTCTCCTTAATTATGATTTTTCTTCTGTTCATTCAATGACTTTTTTTATTTGCAGATTTTTTTTTTAAATATTCTAAATTTTTAACATATTCAACATAAAATTTTAACACTTTGGACTAACTAATAGATAATGTTTTGGATAGATGGTAACTCTGGTTATTGTGACCTTAGTTTTTGAACTGCATGATCACATTCTTAGGAATTTGATGAAATTTAAATCTAAGGATATAACTGAATAATGATTCAATTTTTGACATCGGAATTATTTTAAACTTGTGCAATTCGATGATGAAAAAGTACAATTTTAGAAGTGCAAACCACAAGTATTTTCTATTATTCAAGAGGTAGATAAGAGATTTTAAGTGCTGTGGGTTTTCAGGCAGAAAAACCTGAATGAAAAAATATTGTGGTATAGAATGATTATTTCTTGATGCTATTTTTGAAATATGTTTAAAGCCTTCAAATATTAAGTCAGTCAAATTCCACAACAGAAAAACCTGGATTTCGTGTTTTTGGAATCTCCATGTATTAAATTAAAAAGAAAGTTCACGATACTTTTTGGCACTTCTGATATATTACATCAACTATAAAAAAAAATATTATAGTATGCAGGAATTAAATTAGCAGTTTATTTTTTTGTTGTAAATCTTTCTTCAAAGTTTTGTTTGTTTTATAAATAAATGTAGTGCAGTATTTGATTTAATTAATCGAAATCCATGTAAACAGAAATTGTTTATCTTATAAGAATAGGAAAATTTGGTATGATAAGCAATGAGACAGCTCTCCACAAGTGACGTAAGAGCATGATGTTGACTAAAATTCTTGGTTTTCTCTCTCTCTCATAATGTATATAGTTTGATTAAGAGTATGAAAAGTTACGAGTTTCAATTCCAAGAATCTGACATACGCTCATTGTGGACAGTCCATGATTTTGTCATTCAATCTGTCCTTTGTGGACAGTCCAGGATTTTGTCATTTCAATCTGTCCCTTGTGGACAGTCCAGGATTTTGTCATTTCAATCTGTCCTTTGTGGACAGTCCAGGATTTTGTCATTTCAATCTGTCTCTTGTGGACAGTCCAGGATTTTGTCATTTCAATATGTCCTTTGTGGACAGTCCAGGATTTAGTCATTTCAATCTGTCCCTTGTGGTCAGTCCAGGATTTGGTCATTTCAATCTGTCCCCTGAGGACAGTCAAGGATTTTGTCAATTCAACCTGTCCCTTGTGGTCAGTATAGGATTTTGTCATTTCAATCTGTCCCTTGTTGTCAGTCCAGGATTTGGTCATTTCAATCTGTCCCCTGAGGACAGTCAAGGATTTTGTCATTTCAACCTGTCCCTTATGGTCAGTATAGGGTTTTGTCATTTCAACCTGTCCCTTGTGGACATTCCAGGATTTTGTCATTTCAATCTGTCCCTTTTGGACAGTCCAGGATTTTGGCATTTCAACCTGTCTGTTGTGGACAGCCCAAGATTTTTTCATTTTAGTCATCTCATATTTAATCATAGATTTATTTTAAAATATTGAATTCAAAAGCTAAATAATTTTCCTATGTAAAGTAGTTTAAGAAATTAAATTGCATTGCTAATCTGAAAAAAAGGCACAAGGGGACTTTCTAGGAGTTTTGCACACTCTGTGCAAACTCGACAATGTGACTTGTGGAAATTAACAAAATCTTCAGGTCTTGAGAATGTGGAGTACGTGTTTGGTGGTCCGATGATTTTGTAGAGGCATTTTTGTCTATAGCCTTGTGATCAGATTATTAGGATATTTTATATCTTTTTGAACAAAATAACTGCTATAAAGTCAAAACTTAGAACCCTTCAATATTGATAAAACTTGATTAAATCTGTATGTCAGAATTGCTGACAACATTTGACCCAATTACGTCTTTATTTATTGATGTTAATTAATAAAAAGATAATTGAATTTAATTATGCATGAACTAGTTATGCTATACATCAAAAATACAATAGTTACCCTAGAAAGCACTCCGACTTAACATATACAGTACACTTAAAGTGATTCTGTTAAAAACATCTTTGCCCACTGTCCTGGTATCCATGATGAGTTTATTTACGACCACTTGGTCAATGCCACTGCTGGTAGAGGTTTCCTCCTTGAGAGTATCTCCAGCCCAGTTAAGTGAGCAATTTTGTGTTGACAGTGAATTATCATTGATAAGGGGTCCATAGGTGGCCTGTTGCAAGGCAAAATTTCTGTCCCAATCCAATGTACCCTCATTTTCCAGTAGCAGTCCAAATATCCCCAACCTTCATCCTGGACGACCTGTATTACAGGACCTACCTATTGTATTAATTGTTAATCTGTTCTCGTCCTGAACATGCATAAAATATTTGCCACTGGACATTAAGCAACCATTACAATCAATCATTGATATGGTCATAATTTTACTTTATATATTAGCAGAATTTTTTTATTGTTTCCCTAGATTTTCTTTTTTTAAAGTGTATTTTCTTTTTTTTTCATTTGATTTTTGTTTTTACCCTTTCCTTTAACTTAAGGTGGTACCTAACACTACAGGGAGATAACTCTGTAAAAATCAACTAAACGTTTTAATTACGTTGTATTGTTAAGGTAATATTAAGCTTCTCAATGATCAAAATTAGTGTTTGTCAAACTGCTATATAACCAACGAAATTTTTCTGATAAAGTGGTTAGTTCAAATTTTTTGAAATTTTTATATTTTTGTCAAAGGGTCAAAGTAAACATTTTGTCAAAATCTTATGAAAATTAAACGAGCCAAATTAATATTAGTCAAGGTGTTGGGTACCACCTTAATTGAAAACAATTTGAAGATTTAAGAATACTGCAAATTTGATAAAGTTTAATAGCAAAATATACTACAAATACGGTATGACAACATCAAATAAATTATTAACATGCACTTACATACCATAATAAGATATAGACTTCTGTAATGATATATGTGAGCAATTAAATCATCACAATTATGATCTTTAATATTGATAATTATCTATAATTATTATCATGATCATCTTTTTGATAGTCAGTTTGATTTAATTCATAGGTTAAAGGTCAGTGACATCAAAAATATTAATTTTCATATCAACAGGTGTTTTAAATAGATCCCAAGGTTTTGAGACTTTAAACTGCACATTCTATATGTGCCTGTCCCACTAAATGATGGGAGCCTATCATTCAGTGGTTGTCATTAGTCGCTGTCTATCATATTGTTTGTTTGTTTATTGTTTTTGTACATAAATCAGCCCATTGTTTTATTGGTTTGAATTGTTGTTCATCTTGTCATGTCAGGGTCTTTTATAGTTAATACTGTAAGGTACAGGTTTTGTTCATCGTTGAAGGCTTGTATGGTTACCTATACAGGGGGTTCCAGGGGTTCCCTTTTAATTTTACGATCAATGCTTTTGAATGGGGACATATGGTTGGAACCCCCCACCCCAAGTTGCAACTAGACTTAAATGAGAAGAAACTTGCCATAGCTCTTGAGTAAAGCAACCCTTATACTTATCATATACATGAATTTTTTGTGAAGAATATTTTCTGTTTTGTGAAGGATTACTCTTATAATAAGGAAATGTGGTATTGCCAATGAGACATTTATCCAGAGAAACCTGGATGAATTTGATTACACTTCTACATTCTCCCTAAAGGAGACCTTATTTAGAGAATAAAATATATTTGTTGTATTGTATTGGTAATTATTAATTAACTACTCTGTTGTTGGACTTAATATGATAAAAACTGCCTGTGCAATACAAAAGTGTCAACTGGGCCAATATTGGTTTTTTTTTCATATTGGCTGAGTTCTGATCCGGCTATCACAGGATTTCGGAATGTCTCTGCTTTTTGGATCGAAAGTCATGATGAAAACCAACTTATTGTAAGCTGTTGTCTGGAAGGTGACCTGTAATTGTCTTGTTCTTTGGTTAGTTGTCAATCATATGCAACTCCTTATTTCATTGTTGTTTGTTTCTGTATCTCTTATGAGGGTCTGGATGGGGGGGTCCTTCATTTTTGTATTCTTTAATTTTTTAGGCCATTTTTCTCTATTCTTTATACTTTTTGACAATTATTCTCTATTATTTTTTTAGGGTCCATTTTTCTTTATTTTTTATATTCTCTATTCTGTAAACCCCCATCCACACCCTCTCTTTATAATGCAATGGCATTACCTTTCCAATTACTAATAATGTGCTGCATCTTAATATGAATTGTAACCTTTATAGTGACTGAAAAGGGTTAACAAATCCTCAGTCTCCAGAATCAGAAAATGCAGAAGACACCAATGATACAGCACCTGATAATTTTAGATTTCAGCATATGAAAGAAACTTACATTGGGATGGTCACACATTATATGAAATTGATATGAAACAGGATTTATTTAGCAGAAGGAAAACAATATAGGATTCAACCATTCTGTAAACCAATTGTTGTGAACGATTGATTGACGCTTTTTTTTTTAGAGAAAAGGGGGAGGGGTACATTTTCTGTGTATGATTAAACTGTGGTTTCTGTGTATGATTAAACTGTGGAGAAATAATAAGTTTTTCTTTTTTGTGATTTACAGGGAGTTATACAAGAACTGAAATACTACACCAATCCTGCAAAAGCTGAGGAATTAGACTGTTTAGTAAGTATACAAAGTAATATGTTGTCCCATCCCAGATATGTCCATACCTGCCAACTTTTCAAAGTCTCCATGGGTGATTTTAAGCAGGAGAGAATCTTATGCATACCTTATACATTTCATTAGTGTACTTTTAGATTAAAACATCTGTGGTTTTGAATGAGTATACATGTAGATAGATATAAGAAGATGTAGTATGAGAGCCAATGAGACAACTCTCCATCCAAGTCACAATTTATAAAAGTAAACCATTATAGGTCAAAGTACGGTCTTCAACACAGAGCCTTGGTTCACACCGAACAGCAAGCTATAAAGGGCCCCAAAAATTACTAGTGTAAAACCATTCAAACGGGAAAACCAACGGTCTAATCTATATAAAAAATAAGAAACGAGAAACACTCATGAACCACATCAACAAACCTCAACTACTGAACATCAGATTCCTGACTTAGGACAGGTGCAAACAATTGCAGCAGGTTTAAACGTTTAAATGTATTTTATTTTACTCCAGAATGCTTTTTTTAAAGTATTTAGTCTAAATGATTGAGTTGTATAAGGGTTAGATCAACACCTCTGATGGGGATATCCCCCATAAAAAGGGAAAATTATTGGCAGGTCTGTATGTCCAGAAAGTAAATAAACACACCAAGTGTCTTATATGGAAGGAAATCAAAGCCATTGAGCTGCAATCATTGCACATTTTGGATTTACCTTTTACAGATATGTATAAAAGAGGTAAATTGTTGAGGAGATTTAGCAACCCAACACAAATGTTACGAGCCTAAAAACAGTAAATCCAAAAATGTGTAAATGTGATTATAAGTGCTGCAGTCATAGCATATATTATAAGGTCTATTAAAATTGATGAAAATATACATGTTGCCTAAGGGCTCAGATTTATATCTATTTTTAGTAAAATGTACAAAAGGTAGGTACAGAAACTTAAAATAATCAACATCCAACGCTCTAAAAATAGATGTGCAAACAAAGATAAACAACAACAATCAAAACATGGTCCAGATTGGGTTCCCTATAGGCACAAAATGCTGTGGGGTTAAACCAGATTTATGTGCATGCAAATCTCACCCTTCCCTTTGCCTATCTAGACCATATGATGTAAAAGAACTACAAATAAAAAATCTTTAAACTCCAGCTACAAACATGATTGATTGGTGTTTAACGCCTCTTTCAACATTATTGTGCTGTTTCTTGGCGGCCAGTTTTTATTGGTGGAGGAAGTCGGAGGGCCCGGAGAGAACCACCGACCTTTGGTAGGAAAACTGACAATCCTAGTCAATTAAGATTGGAGTCGAGTGCACCTGCCTCGTGCGGGATTCGAACTCACAACCTCAGTGTTGACTGGCTAGTGATATAGTAGACCACTCGGCCAACGAGGCCCCCATGCTACAAACAGGATGAACATTAAATTAAATAAAGAAATAAAAAGAATACACGAAATTTTGAAGAGCAGAGAGAAAAAAATGCTTGCTACTTAACAGTCAGCTAGTTATGGTTACGCCACAACTGTTGTCTGAATAATAGTACGGACAGTCAATAAAATAAACATTGAAAAAGAAGGAAGGATGAGAAACACTTCCTTATAAGAATAAGAAGATGTAGTATGATTGCCAATGAGACAACTTTGCACCAGAGACCAAATGACATAGAAGTTAACAACTAAAAACCCATACAACATAATCAGCTATAATTTTAAGGCCTCGAAATGACAAATGACAAAACAAACAACCAGATGTATATCAAAACGATGAACGAAAAACAAATATGATATACAGCACCAAAGAGCAGCGGAGGGGGCATTAAGTTTTACCAGTTCTAGAGTTATGCCCCTTTTCAAATGGAAAAATTGCTGAATTTTAGTTCTCTAACTTTTGTTTGCCTCAACCAAATGTTATGAAACTTATACACAATGGTTATTACCACATGACACAGATCATGTTGAATTTTGGTGTTGTCACTTTTAGGGTTCTAGAGTTATGCCCCTTTACAAATGGAAAAATTCAGCTGGAAAAATTGCTGAATTTTTTGTTTCCGTTCTCTAACTTAAGATTGCCTCAACCAAATTTTATGAAATTTATACACAATGCTTATTACCACAAAACTCAGATCAATTACAAATTTTGGTGTCGTCACTTTTACTTGAGTTGTGTCCCTTTATAACGTTATATGCAAGCAGGGGCATCATCTGTGTCCCATGGACACATGCCCCATATATTTTTGGGAGCAATGATTTAAGATATTTTATTTTGTGCCATTTAATATTACTGTGCTAAAAGAAGAACAATTCAGCAGTTGAAAACTCTTCATAGCTATTGACATTGTAGTAATCTTGATCTTGTTACATTTCTTATTGCTAATCTTGAATTTCATTTTCAGAGTTTGGACAGTGGATCAGGATCAGGAGGAGAGGATGATGTTGATCGTGTTAGGCCAGTCATTACTCTGGTAAGATTGGGAGAATATGGATAGTAAAATTATTAGACTTGGGAGAATTTGGACTTTCTTATAAACTGAACAAATTGAGATGTGGGGTATATGGAAATGAGACAGCAACCCAAGGACAAAAATAACCAAACGACATCAAGAGGAAATCAGGCTTTCTTCCACAATAGACAGGTGTCTATATAATATGTGAAGCTCTTAATCATCCCAAGTCTATAAAAGTTGTGAATACATTTTAGAAACTCATAGATCTTCAATTAACACTGCAATGAGTTCTCAAAAATAACTAGTAAAACATGGCATAATACAACTACATACAAGATTCCTGAATTTAGACAGGCACATGAAAATAAGAGGGGTTAAAAGTTTTTGTGATCTCAACCCTCCCCCTTCTTTTAATCTCATTCAGATGATTAACACATATATACATAAGTTTGGAAGTTACTGACTCGGGAGATACAGAATTAAACTCAATCCTTTTTGTTTCAAGGGAATGCATTATATAGCAGAGGTTCCGAAGGTTTTTTGGACCTCAGTGGTCTTTTGGTCCAGTAATTGTTTGAGCATTACTGGTCCAGTCAATGTTTTAGCAGTCTTTTACATTATTGACAGACCTTGGGAATGCAATATATAGTTCCTGTAAGTTTCGAAATGTTTGTGATGTTTTTAGTCCCCTACCAACGAAGGGGACTTTAGGTTTGCACTACGTCTGTCTGTCTGTCTGTCTGGTCCGTCCGTCCGTTCGTCCGTCCGTCTGTCAGTCCGGCAAATCAGTTTCCAGACTTTTTTTCTTCATGCTTGAAGATATTGATTTGATATTTGGTCTATTGATTTATCATGACAAGTTACAGGTCAAGATCAATTTTCATCATTTTAGCTTTTCTCTTTGTTCAGTTAAAGCCCTTTCCCTAGAATTAAATTTTTGATGAAATACTTATTAATTAGTAGATTTCTGTTCAAAGGGAAATAACTCATTTTTTAAAAGATTTAAAAGAAAAAATGACATTTTGGATTTTTTTCCTTTTCTTTGATAAATTGTTTGAGAATTTAGTGGTAGGTTTGTTTGTCATTCTTGAAGATATTGATTTGATAATTAGTATATAGTTTTATCATGACAAGTTACAGATCAAGTTGGAATTTTGTTCCAGTCTGATAATTTTGTGCAGAGTTATGGTCTTTGGACATAGAAAATTCCCTTAAATAATCAGTTTTCAACAGTTTTTTTCGTCATGCTTGAAGATTTTGACTTGATATTTTTATGTAGTTTATACATGACAAGTTATAGATCAAGTTAGAATTTCGTTCCATTACAATGAATTTGTAACCGGTAGGGGACTATGTATTGCCATGCAGTACTCACAGAAACTTGTTATTACATGTATTGGAAAAATTGCAACAAGATAGGTTTTGCAGAAAAAACTTGCATTTTAAGTTTAATAGCAATCTTCGTATGCTGTTTTTCTTGTTCTTGATATTACAATAATTTAAGTCTTACATTTTTGTTATATGTCCTTGTGCATTGTTAAAAATTGCAATACACAAGTTGAAAATAGACGAAAAACACTGTACAGTATGGGTTTTGCTCATTGTTGGCGGCTGTACAGTTACCTACAGTTGTTAACATCCTCATTTTTTCAAATTTTGGTCTTTGACAGATAGTTGTCTGGATCACTGGTAATCTTACCACATCTCTTTATTTTTTTATTACATATGTTTCTATTGACAATTATGAGAATTTTGACATTTTCACCATTACGAAGCCTCTATCTAATATGAATCTCCCTTATGGCAGTAGGTTAAATAATGAATGACAAGGGCGTTCAGATAAAGAACATTCTGTTGACTACATGTGTACTATCACTTAATTTACATCTTGACTAATGTGTTAAGTCATATTTTGCTGATGGGGAGATGCACTTGATTCATACAAATGGTCTTTATTTTTTTTTTAGCTCACCTTGTCAAAAAAAGTTTTTTTTTTTGTTTTTTTTTTGGATCACCTGTTCACAAAAAAATTACAGGTTGTATTATTAATTAGCTCACCTGGTCAAAGAACTATGAGAGTTTTTGATATTGCCAACATTTTGTATCGGTTTTGTGTTGTAAAAAGTCAAAAAGGATGATTTGAATTAAATTTCAGTGAGGAATTAGACTTACCTTATTCATGTGATAGTCAGTCTAGGTTTTAATTGCATGATTTTCAAATTATTTGTCTTTAAAGCTATATATTAAGGATAAAAATGATCATTTTAAGATTCCCAATATTGTGCTATATCTCTGGAGAGGAGGGGGATTCGATTGTAATCCTTGGCTTTTGAAGAAGATGATATAAGGTCATTTATAAACAGACAACAAGTAAAATTTGACCATTTATCTATAAGACTTAACAGCCAACTGTGGATTCATTAATAATCGTGGGGTACCAATTTTTGTGGATTTAACCCACAAGTTTAAATATTCAATGAAAGTACAAATTCTATGTAGGCTTGTATGTAGTAAATCCAATATCCAGGAAAATATTCTTTCTCTTCAACCGACAAGTCATTAGGTAAGCACGAAAATAAATGACCCCACAGTATTTGTAAGTTTTTGTTTTTCAGTAGTTGTATCATCGTCAGTTAAGTAATGCATTCAATATCTTTCTTTCAGCCACCACCAACAGGTAAACCAGGAGAGAAAGGAGAAAAGGGAGATACTGGAGAACAAGGCAAAGATGGAAAGGATGGAAAGGATGGTAAAGATGGCGAAAAGGGAGAAAAGGGAGATGTGGGACCAGTTGGTCCACCTGGTCCCCCACCATCACTTACGCCACCACCACCAGAGCTTCTTGAAGACATGATGGGTGCAAAAGGTACGGCATAATATTATAATTCAAGATTATTGCAATGCTCCATTTAAATGTTAATATGTCTTTTGATTGAGTTAAGCCATTTCAATTGATATTTTATAGTGTGTCTTTCTATGTTGTGATGTTACACTATTGTTTCTGATAAGGGTGAAGGTTTGGTACCATTAAAACTGTTTAAACCCGCTGCAATTGTTTGCACCTGTCCTAAGTCAGGAATCTGAGGTTCAGTAGTTGTCGTTTGTCGATGTGGTTCATAAGTGTTTCTCGTTTCTCGTTTTTTATATAGATTAGACCATTGGTTTTCCCGTTTGAATGGTTTTACACTAGTAATTTTTGGGGCCCTTTATAGCTTGCTGTTCGGTGTGAGCCAATGCACTGTGTTGAAGACTGTACTTTGACCTATAATGGTTTACTTTTATAAATTTTGACTTGGATGGAGAGTTGTCTCATTGGCACTCATACCACATCTTCTTATATCTATGGCTACCTTTAAAAGATTCTTTGTTTGATGTTGCCTATCCATGTTGTTGGGTAGGTAGGTAGGTAGGGATTTTATTTTTCTTTTCGCCAAAAACATAAGTTACATAAATTTAGACAAGAAAACGATGTTAGAGCAGGAAAAAATCTTTTTAAAAAAATTTGAAACAATTTGTGTCATAAAATTTTTCAGGTAGGCTGCTTTTTAGGTTGGTAATATTTGAAGCCTGAATGTAAATAAATGGTTTGAAACTATTGAATAAGTCAAAAATTATGGCCTGGGTCAGTTCAGAAGACATATTTATTTTTCAAACTTTGCCAGAATAAAAAAATATTGTTTATTTCCTGCAAGAAATTGCCAAAACAATTATTGTTTATTAACCTTGAAAATACCAGACTTTTATTGAATTTGACCGTTTGAAATTTACAAAAATTTTTCAAACAATGATTTTTTGTCTCAGTTACAGACATAAGAAAAAAAGAAAAATTTTTGGACAAAAATCGATTATTTTTTCAACAAAACCACCTACAGTCTCCTTTTGCATTATTTTTGTGTGTTAAAGTGAACATTGTATAGTTCCAGCAATAACTGTTGTCAAGTTTATAAGGAAGTCAGTATTAAAAAAAATTTTTCAGTAAGGGATAATCCTTGGGACGAATTGATATGTCTACATTAAAATACGTAATGTTGGTTTCCCTCCCCTAGACTACAACATGCCCCTGTCAACAGATGAGCAGACGCTAAAAGTTGCATGTTCTGCCAGTCTGTCACTATCTAAGTACTATCCTTGTGCTAATGTAGGTTATCTGTTAGCATTAGATTGTACTAGGGTGGATGTTCAGACCATATCTTCTAGAACATTGCCATTTGTACTTGAAAACCAAAGACATACAGTTAAGTACAGCCTATTAATCAATAGCCTTGCACTTAAACCTATTATAACTTCATTATTCAATTCATTTTTATGCCCCACCTAGGGGCATTATGTTGTTTGGTCTGTGTGTCCGTTCGTCCATCCGTCTGTCCCACTTCAAGGTTAAAGTTTTTGGTCAAGGTAGTTTTTGATGAAGTTGGAAGTCCAATCAACTTGAAACTTAGTACACATGTTCCCTTAGTCCAAATAATTATGACGTCTTGAAAGGCTATTTTAATTTTTTTTCTGTGAAGCCTTCCTACGGACTAAATGTTCCTTATGATATGATCTTTCTAATTTTAATGCCAAATTAGAGTTTTTACCCCAATTTCACGGTCCACTGAACATAGAAAATGATAGTGCGAGTGGGGAATCCGTGTACTATGGACACATTCTTGTTCCAATTCATTTTTTTCACAAAAATTTCAATTTTTTTTATAAATGATCTCAAGAGTCATTCCAAAAACTCAAAAGAATTCCATGTATGATGTTTGAATGTTTAACTTTTCAGCTTTGGATTTTTGAATCTTGAAAAAAATGTAGTTCCTGAATTTTATGCTTGGTTACGAGTCAAACTTTTCCAATTTTCTTAGGGAGCTACCATTTGATTTTTATGGGGGGGGGGGGCTAGGATGAAAAATGTTGTCCTGCATTTTTTTTTAGTTGTTTAATCTTGTCCTGCTTTTTTATTTTTCACTCTATTTGGTCCTGCATTTTTTTTATTAGTTTATCTTGACTTTTTTTACATAAATTGTCATCCTGCCTTTTTTTTTTCCAAGTTGCTCATCTGCCTTTTTTTTTTACCCAAAACTGCTGTCCTGCCTTTTTTTTCAAATTTCATCCTAGCCGCCCCCCCCATAAAAATCAAATGGTAGCTCCCTTAGATGCTCCTGTATCATTCTCATAACCAAATGTAAACAACATAAATGCTTGATCACTGTTGAAAATGCAGTGGTATAAATCATTGGTAAGACCTGTACTACTACTGTGGATGTGAAACATCGGAAACTCACAAACCTTGAAGAAAAGAAACTAAATACTGTACAACATCAATGCCTAAGAAAGATCCTAAAAATAAGATGGCAAAGTAAAACATCAAATAAGACAGTAAAGAGGGTGTGGATGAGCAAAAAATAGATACAAAAGAGAAAAATGGACCAAAAAAATAAAGAATAGAGAATAATGGGCAAAAAGTATAAAGAATTCAGAAAAATGGCCTAAAAAATTAAAGAATACAGAAAAGAAGGACATTCCATCCAGAACCCTCAGTAAATGAAAATGCTAACACCAGAAACATCAGTTATGAAATCAGAAGGAGAGGTTGGACATGGAGAGGACAAATGTTAAGGTGTGAAAGAGATAAACAACAGTAATGTAGCACTAAATTGGGCTCCAGAAGTGAAAAGAGCTAGAGGAAGGTAAGAAAAAAACCATGGAGAAGAGCAACAGAGAAAGAAAGAACCAACAAGGATGGACAAGTTGGAATGTGGCCAGAAGTACAGCAGCACAAGATAGAAAAGGGTGGAATGTCAGCGTGGAGGCCTTATGCAGCTTCTGGCACAGAGAGAATTAAGGCAAAGGCTAAAAAGCACAAATGACTTCCAATACATTTGTAAGAGTTGTCTCCCATACCCTGAGTCTACCTACTTAAAAGAATGTAAAAATGCATATTAAGCACTAAAAAAAAAAATTTTTAAATTGTTACTTTATTAGTAGAAAAAAGGACACATTGGAATTTTAAAAACAATTTATTTGTTTATTGATTAGTTTGTGTATGTTTATTTTTTAGGTGAAAGAGGAGAAACTGGTCCAAGAGGAGAACAAGGAGAAACTGGAATTGAAGGGTTCCCTGGTCAGAAAGGAGAACAAGGAGACCCAGGAACTATTGGTCCAGAAGGGCCAGCTGGAATCCAGGGTCCAAAGGGAGACATGGGAGATAGAGTATGTGTAACAAAAAGTGACCTCCATATATCTTATAAAAAATCAGAAATATTTTTAGGGTTGTATATTGTCAAAGTTTTCATCAGTGGATGTCTTCATTTATGTCTGTATTAAAGTTAAGAAAATACAATACTAAAAACAGGTTGTTCAGGAACAATTACTTCATAGAAATGTCACTGCATGTTAAACATAGAGATTTTGGTCAATTTTCCAATGAAATTTTGAAGAATGATTTAATAGTGTATGCAAAAACTAGCAAACAAAGTTTTTCATATAACATATGTCTTATAAGAGTTTTTAGAGATCTTGCCTGCACACAATGTTTTTCACCCAGAAATCATGTATAATATATTAAGCATTTTTTATGAAATTTAAATGATGTTTTTTTAACATGAAAATTTTGATTATTCATAATATTTGAACAACCTTGATTATAATCATGATTAATTACTGTAAATTCAGAAATTATTGCGTGCATTTATCATTGCGATTTTTCAAGAATGAACAAAAATGCGAGTTTAATTATTGCGATTTTAGGAAATGCTTTGTACAGATATACATAACAGATATCAGAATGCAAGTTTTTTTTTTTGCGATACGCAAGGAGTCGCATAATTCGCAATAATAAAAACCTTGCAATAATTTCTGAATTTACAGTAATAGAATTTTTTGCCATTGTATTGTGCGTTTTTCTACAAAATATATTTTTTGTTGTTCATTTGGTATCTTATGCTTATTGTAAAAAGATATTATGTAAAAAGAAAATCTAGCGGTGAAGACTTTAATTTAATTGCTTTTGATTGACCACAAAATTCATCAGACTTTGTGACATGTACAAATTTTTAGGCTGAATAAAGAATTATTGCCCTTTATTCCTGTGAGGCTGTGACTGTAATATTCAGACTTATGTAGAATTATTTCATTGACAAAAATGAATTAGAATTGTTAACCCTCATTCTAGGAGTGGGAGCTACATTGAGTTTACCTTGTCGGTCTGTCTATCTGTCAGTCCATCGGTTCGTCCAACAAAAATATAATTAGTCATACTTTTCTCAGATATTACTAAACAGAATGAAGGGCGCCAGCTTTGTATTTAGGGCTGTTCCATTAAAATGTATGTGGGAGGGTAGGAAGGGACTTAAAAATATCCCTACAACCAAGAACCATTTTTTAGATAATTTTGCATGATGATAATAGACGCATACTGAAAAAAGACCCATGACCCACATTCAATAATTAAACTTCCCTTCATACCCTCCCACATACATTTTAATGGAATAGCCCTTAGTGATTAGTTGTATTGTGTTAGCACATTTTGGATCTTTAAGTCACCTAATACTTTAAAGTTTTCTGATACTTTGAATTTTTCAATACTTTGAATAACTTAATTTTTTGTCACAAATAGGTCCAGAACTACTGAACAGAATGACTTCATATTTGTTCATCAGTTTGGCAGTGATGAGTTATTGCAGGATCACTTTGGAGATCTGTGAGACACCTATTTCCTGTTTATCTATACTTTAGATTACAAGTAGGAGTATGCTTAGCAAGACAACATTTGTAGTCCCGAGCCCTGCCTTATTCTATACCCCAGAAATTAAAATATATCCACAAATATTTATACTGTGGATTCATTTATTTTCGTGGGTACCAATTTTCGTGGATTGAGGAAAACTTGCATTTTCATGGATATTTGATTTCATGGTTTTGCCAAAGTCTGCATAAATTCCTAAACAAAATTTGTTATTCGTTGGACATTGGAATTCGTGGTTCCTGGGTAACCACGAAACCCACGAAAATTGGTATCCAACGAATAATAATGAATCCACAGTATTCCTAATAAACTGACAAAAATATTTATTTTATCAGGGATTGCCAGGAATTGGGCAAGTTGGACCTCAAGGTGACCCTGGTTTGCCTGCTTCGGTCAACACCCAGGAGATTGTCGACATCATCTTATCTCAAGTGCACATGGATCAAGGACAGAAAGGTGAAAAGGGGGAAACAGGACAACGAGGAGAAAACGGAAGTGATGGAAATGATGGAAGGGAAGGTATTCCTGGAAGAGACGGTTTGCCTGGACTTGCTGGAGAAAAGGTACAAATTCAATTACCCGTCTTGTTTTTCATTACTTTTCGTTTTTGCGATTGTATTTTCAGTTTTTCTTCAACTGATTTTTTTCATAGTCCCTTTGTCTTCTATCTCTTCCATCAAGGCTGCAATAAAAGTCTTTGAAGAGAGCAATTCTACATTTTCTTTGTTGAAAATTGTTTGAAAATTTAAGTTTTTTTTTCATCAGGAATGGGGTCAAATAACAACCTAGAGGACATACTAATTAATTCCCACTTTTGATAGAAGGATTTTTGTGTCAATTCCTTAATTGATGGTTAGAGTATACTGTAACTGGCAACAACGTTTTTGCAATGGCTGTTGATTTTGCTGGGATAATTCAATTGTTTTTTTTTTTAACATTTTACGAATATTGAATTAGAATATATAGAAATAACAGAACTGTATTATAAGAGTTACCGATGTGAATTTTGATTGCAACTGTCAAATCACCAATTCATGGTGGAAACTCTTCAAACACAGAACTGTTATTCCTTGAATGGCAGTTATAGTGACTTTATAACAGAAAAGAAAGTATTATGTGTTGTATTTCTTGACAGAAAAAACATACTTCCAATATAAAATAAGAAGATGTGGTATGATTGCCAATGAGACAACTGTTCAAATGGCCTTCAACAATGAGCAAAACCTATACTGTATTGACAGCTATTAAACATGAAAAAATGTGAAACAATTCAAGTAAAAAAAAACAGCCTGATTTACGACAAAACAAATATTACAGACAGAACCAACAACAACCATTGAATAACAGGTTCTTGACTTGGGACAGGGCCATAAAGAATGTGGTGGGGTTAAACATGTTTGTTTGGGCGCTTCAATAAACCTAAAGGAAAGAAACAACACTTTTATTGTTGTTATTCATCTCAAAGTCATAGTTGGGCCTGCAATATAAGAACAAAAGCTCACCCATAGCTTCAAGTTCAAGATAGCCTCTAGCATTACTTTGAGCTAAACTCTAGACTAGATCATGAAATAGATACATATGCACAATGTTGATAATTATGATATGCTAAGTAAAGTGGAAACTATTTTTTGTTTAAATTGCCATTCATCCCATCTGAACTTGTATCAAAAAATTTATTTTTTAGGGTGAAAAAGGTGACACTGTTGTTGGACCAGAGGGACCAGAGGGTCCAGTTGGAAAACCAGGTGAAAGTGGACTGCCAGGAATTGCTGGAGTAGCAGGACCTACTGGACCAATGGGACCTCCTGGACCTCCAGGACCTTCAGGTCCAGGTGGACTTATAACTGAAGGTAGACTTTATCTGATCTATAGAAGCTTTAGATATATACCCAGTTGGGGGGTTTGACCCAGATTTCGCAGTTCACTAAACATGGAAATGAGATAGTGTGAATAAGGCATGGTGTCCTATGGACATATAGTCATGTTTGTTTCAATCTTGCTTCAGTGGCCAAGTGGTGTAAGTAGTTCATGTACTGTATCACTAGCCTGTTAACACTGAAGGTGTGGGTTCCAATCCCACGTGTAGCGGGTGTTTTTCGATTCTAATCTTAAGGATGTTCGCTACTCTGTTTCAAAATAACAAGCTTTTTAAAAGACTATTATGAATTGATAGAATATGAATAAAGGAACTAAAAAATTAGAAAAAAATTATGGGTCTGTGTTCATGTTTTCGAGGTATAAGCCTTTGAAAATTTGGTGGGAAATGATTCTCTCTAGATTTTTCATACATTTAACATTGGCACCATTTTTCTTTCAAAAACTATGAAAAAATAACAAGGATTTTATATTCCGAATATCTGGCAAAAATTCAAAAACAAAAGGAGCGAACATCCTTAATTTACAAGGATTGCGAGTTTTCCTATCGAAGGTCAGTGGTTCTGTTTGGACACTTTGTCTTCCTCCACTAATAAAAATCTCTATGGGCACTCTGGCTTCCTTCAACAATAAAACTGACCGTCACAATATAGCCAACAGTGCTGAAAATGGTATTAAACCCCTAAAAATCAATCAATTAATCAATCAAATCTGTAATGATTGTGAATTTGAATTTTAAAGTTTTGGCTCAAGCATTAGAAAAAAGCTGCTGTAAATAGCGCCTGTAATTTGATACTCTCAATTTGTTTAATGAATTTATACTTTTCCTTTCGTATTAAACCATACAAATTCTGTATATAGTTATTTATTTTGATTAATGAAGGTTCAGGAGATGGAGATGCAGAACCTGGATTACCAGGCCCACCTGGTCCAATGGGTCCAATAGGGCCACAAGGAATACAAGGTGTAGTAGGTCCAATGGGTGTTGCTGGACCCAAGGGAGAAGCTGGAGTTATTGGTACCCCAGGTATTCCTGGACTCCCTGGAACACCTGGTACTCCTGGAGTTTTTGCTGGAAACCTGTCGGAAATGATTGGAACTCCTGGAAAAGATGGTGCTCCTGGTCTTCAAGGAGAACCTGGTTTACCTGTAAGTGAAAAAGAACAAGTTTACTGTATGGCATAATATGGATTCATTTATTTTCATGGGTACTAATTTTCATGGATTGAGGAAAAATTGCTTCTTCATGGATATTTGATTTCGTGGTTTTGCCAAGGTCTACATTCCAGCCTTTAGAACATTTGTATGTGGTTAAATATTTAAATTCTTGGTTTATCAATTAAAATTTGTATGCCACGAATAATTAGGAATCCACGGTATCTTAATCCTGTATAAATAGAGAGATGGAAATTAATTTGTTTACCTGAAAGTATTTTCAGTTTAAAATGATATAGAGAATTGAAATAATAGGATGAAATGACATTTCTTCTTCTATTTTCTGTTGATTGGTTGGGTTGTTGTCTCTTTGACACATTCCCCGTTTCCATTCTCAATTGTATTGTTTACTGCTGCTGATTATCATTAGTTTATTATAAGCATGCCAAAATCTATCTACTCTGAAAATTTGCTGACTTGTTTTGGAGTTATTGCCCCTGAAATGTTGATTTTTACTGTTTTTTGCATTATTTACTGTCATCTCAAAAACTATCGTAGCTAGGTTAAATATGCTCATTGCAAAAATGATCAGCAACACAAAGAATAAATTTTACGTGCAGATAAAATTCCTTATTACCAGACTTGGTATTTTTTCACCAAATGAGCAAAACAGGCACATGTGTGCCTCTTGTTTATTTGATGGTCTTATATATCTACTTACTGGAACCACCATTGAAACACCTAAGTAAAGTCTATTTTCTACCATCAAATCTCAAATTGATGCCTGCAAATCTTCAAGTACAACAGTGTGATTTCCTAAATCCACAGTATGTTAAAACCATCTTCAGCTGTATATTAAGATAATGCACAGTAAAATAATCAGATTTTATAGAAATCATTATGTAATAATAATTCTTAGCTTTTTAATCTACAATACAAAATTTTGATTCTGATATTTTATCAAGATGTATGAAGTATGTTTTTATGAATATGCTTACAATGGATAGAACTGAACAGGTAACCAGACGACAGTTTTTTGTTGTTACTTCCCCTTTTTCAGTTATATTTTGCTTATGGTGCTAAAGGCTTTTTAGAACCTGGGATATTATATGTTATTCAGGTCTCAGACAGGGTATATAATGTGACATTCCCGGCTTAGAGTTTATATTCCCTGAGCCGAAGGCACATTATATACCCTGTCTGAAACCTGAATTACACATATATTACGGATTACCCCTGCCTTAATGCTTTTTCGAGTACCAGATATTTGTTAAACATTCACCATACAGTATATATAGTTCCGCATACATGAGGGATATAGTAATTTGCTGTGAAAAAATTTTTAACGCTTGTGAAATAATTAGTAATAACACTTTAAGACATTAATTAAGTATTTGATGTATAAATCACGTGATTCTAAATTAAAAATGTATTATTGATGGAAACACGTCATTATTTTCCCTCTGTGAGCCTCTGATGTTCTGTATAGCTAAGACTACGTCACATAGAAACGTTCGTTATGATGACGTTGTTGAGGTTCCAATTGGGGTGAAAAACGTCGTATATGACCTGGCAATTTCCTGAATATATGCTGTCATCTCTGATGTTATCCAATCACAAAACTCGACACATTTGTAATCCGTAATATATACATATATATGTTGTACTGTATCTGTAACTTAAGATTGGACATTGGAAGTTTGTATCATTTCGAATCTTGGTTTACTCAAGCTTGGCTTTGGTGCTAAAACCTTTTTAAGAATCATGGATTAATGTATGTTGCATATCTGCCCTCAACATTTTACTTGAATTTTCTATTACTTTGAATCTTTTGGTTTTGGTCTTGTTTTTCTTTTTTCTTTGATTTTTTACACTTTACTTGGAAAATACTTAAAATTGTGGATATTACTGTATTAAATGTAGACCTTTCCAGTTGACCATAGGTTCTATTCCAACACCATACTTTTCTGAATTGCCATGATAAGATATTCACAGCACATCATAGTTATTGTTCCTATGTGTCATTTTTGTCATATTTGTCATTTCTGGGGTTGAGGAATATCAAAATTTATTTTGCCAGAGTACATGTGCACTGAATGTTCTGATGCATATGGATACGTTTTGTTTACTGGTGCATTGGTGCTTATACATATTTCGTTCAGTTTTATCTCCTTTGCTTTTGTCGTATTTGTATGCAAATATTTATTTTATTTTAAACTTGGATATATCTTTGAAATCTTTATTTCAGATGTATTATTTTCTTAATTAAATCTTCACAATTAATTATGGCATTTAACAAAGGTTCTTGTCAAATGCTGAATGATTTCATTTAATTGGTTTTTAATATGTACAGACGACATGGAATGTTAAAGATTTTTAAAATGGACCTGAACCTCTTGGTAAAGGTCAAGTCTAGATGACCACTGACTATTTAACATAAATGCTTTCGCTTTTTAGCAGGTCTCAGTGTTAAAAAACATGAGGTAAAATATAATATTAGTCTGGGGCTAAATGTAATATTTTTATGGGTATTTTATATTTTATATGCTGAATGTCTAAACTATTTAAATAAATATATATAACCTTTATATAGCAAAAATATTTCCCAGGGTTTAAGGATAAGTTAAAAAAAAAAAAAGAGTGACTAAAAGAAATGTTTTATGTTTTATAGGGTGCTAGTGGACAAAGAGGTTTTGATGGCCCAGTAGGACCTGCTGGAGACAAAGGGGATAAAGTAAGTCCATTTAATATTTGTATGTGAGATTATGATTAGAGATTTCATCGAAAGTTAGGGCAGGTGTAGTAAAATCTATATAAACATTTTTTAAGCAGAATCAATAAAACCTGATTATGTAAATTTGGAATTGATTCCTCTCCATCCGTTAAAAAGACCCTTAAATTACACTTATTTTACAACTTTTAATCATAACAAAAAATTTACGAAACATGATGAAAGAAAATGAAAATTCTATTTCGATAACAAATAACATACAATACCTAAAACCTTTTGATTATAACCCAAAATTAATAAGATCATTATACACAATATATCCTTCAATCATGCCAGGTGATTATGTGATCACATAAGTTTTTCTAAACGAGTAAAGTATATATCAAGTAGACTGTATAAAGATGGAAAGGTAAAGGTCAAATCCAGAAATATAAATACGTAATTACCAATTTAGATGATTTGCATTTATATATGTATATAACTATTAAACTAACAATTATAAAGCAAGTCTATTTGATATATCAGGGTACCTTGTTCGTGAAAGCTGTAGCAATAAGGTAATTGTAACAGCTGTCAGCTTTAGACTTATATATTAATTATCATTGAATAAAAAACCAATCAAAAAACTGATTATGAAACTAATAAAATTATGCATACCAGTTAAAAAAATTCGCTAGTGTGTATTACTTAAAAAAAAAATCATACACCTTCCTAATTTGTTTTTAATTTATAGCAAGTAGGGGGTTGAAATTACATTGTAACAAGATTTAAGTCATGATTTTTCAAGAAAAGTAGTGATTTGAGTTTGAACTGATGAAGTTATCAATAATTTTGATATGATTTGTCTCAAAAGAAGTACACAACACTGTAAAAATCATATTAAAAAGCGCAAGCCTGATTTTTAATTTACATTCATTGTTCTAAAAAATGCACTACAAAATAACTGTGTTTTAGGGCCAGTTGATGAAAGTAGTGCAAGGTGTATGAATCTAATTCTATGAATGTAGGGCGATAACTCAATTCCAAATATTAATTTAAATCAATGCAATGTAAAATCAATCTACCCCGTCAGTGTTTACAAGCACTTTGATTTAGTTAGCTTTTGCAAAATTTTACTATGAATGGACTATAAACCAATTAAAGTATGGGGTAAACTCTTTTTAAGTATGATTATTAGATTGGTCGATTAATTGTGGTGTTTAACTTCACTTTCAGCACTCCTGGCTATATTGTAGCGGCCAGTTTTTATTGTTGAAGGAAGTGCAGGAGTGATCAGAGAAAACAATTTTAGTCAATTAAGATCAAAGCCAAATGCACCTTATTATTTTAAGATGCTATGTGGTATATATCAATGAGACGGCAACCCAAGTAACTAAAACAAATCAAAAGACATCTAAATGTAGGTTGATGATCATATTTATGGGTTAAGGATGTTCGCTACTCTGTTTCAAAATAACAAGCTTTTTAAAAGTCTGTTATGGATTGATAGTATATATATAAAGGAACTAAAAAAACAGTAAAAAATGAAGGTAATGTGTGCTTGTTTTCGAGATATAAGGCATTGAAAATTTGGCCGGAAATGATTCTCTCTAGATTTTTCATACATTTAACATTGGCACCTTTTTTCTTTCAAAAACTATGAAAAAATAACAAGGATTTAATAAGATTTTCAAATATGGCTTTTTAAACAATATGTAATAATATTATGAAAAGAAGAGTAGGGGTTAGCGGGGAAAATTTTGAATGGCACTACATGGATAATACTCGAGGATTCTGAATATCTGGCAAAAATTCAAAAACAAGAGTAGCGAACATCCTTAACCAATGTGTATTTGTGTATACAATGTGTAAGTGTGTATACAATGTGTATGTGTGTATACAATGTGTCAATTAACAGTCTTTTCGATAGGAGTCAAAACTAATATGTGTACATTTTATTTCTTACAGGGAGATTCAGGTGAGCCGGGACCTAGAGGACAAGCTGGTATAAATGGAGAACCTGGAGTCTCGGGACCTATTGGTCCACAGGGACCACAGGGTTTGTCTGGATCTGATGGCTCTGTAGGACCTCAAGGTCTACCTGGACTCCCAGGTCCACCTGGAAAAGGTTATGATGGACCAAGAAGAGGAGATACCGGTCTTGTTGATATTGTAAGTACCCATATATTTATAATGATTATGGTATTTTTATGCCAACCCACCTTGGATAATTTTTTTTTAGAATTTGTGTTTCCCACTGACAGAAAAAATGATTATTTTTTCTGATTTAAAAGTACTGTGGATCCATTTGTTTTAACTGGTTTAGGAAAAGTTGTATAGAAAGCAAAATAACAAAAATACTTAACTCCAAGGAAAATTCAAAATGAAAAGTCCTTAATCAGATGGCAAAATCAAAAGCTCAAACACGTCAAATGAATGGAAAACAATTGTCATATTCCTGACTTGGTACAGGCATTTCCATACGTAGAAAATGGTGGATTAAACCTGTTTTTTTAGCTTGTATGTATGTTTGTGTACACATGATTTTCTAAATTTTAAAAGTTCTCTATATATAGAAAATTTTTTATCAATATTTTTACCCTAAAATCCTGTGAAAAAGTATACTTGATGAACAGTACTGTATCCCCATTTTTTTTATAAAGCCCTGAAAACCTAAACTTAAAAATAATGCCATATAGTTTTGGTCTTCTTTAAAAGACTTCCATGAAATTGTTACAATATTTTCCTTAATATCATTTTCACTAACGGTATTTCTTTTTTTTTTTTAATTTAGAAGGAAAGTCCATTTTTTGACAACTGTCATTAAAGGTGAGCTAGAATTTTCTTTTAGTGACAACATGGTAATATTCAAATGATATTAAAAGTTGAATTTGATTTGCATTGCAGGAAGGCTCTGGAGATTGTGGTTGTGAACCAGGCCTGCCAGGTATACAGGGTCCATCGGGACCATCGGGAAAACAGGGAATTCAGGGCCCAGCAGGTCTACCTGGAATACCTGGTGAGATTGGTAGACAGGGTCCATCTGGAGAACCTGGAATCAGAGGACCTGCAGGACCAAAGGTACAAATGAAATTAATATTGTAAACCCAACTACTTTTCGTGCGTAGAAAAATAACAGGAATATAAATCTTCTCTTATAATGTAGATATGTTTAGGAGTTCAGTATGACGTCCATTTTTATTGAACTAGTACACATTTTTGTTTTGGGGCCAGCTGAATCCCGCCTCTGGGTATGGGATTTTCTCCCTCTGTTGATGACCCATTGGTGGCCTTGGGCTGTTTTCTGCTCTTTGGTCAGGTTGTTGTCTCATTTATTTTTTTGGGGTTTGAGGAAAAATTTTATATAGAAATTTATTAAATTAGGAAAGGTTAAAAAAATATTACAGTAGAAAAATATAGGCAGAAGATACAATGTGGACATTCAAAACTCATATGTTGAAGACAAAACAGACAACGCCATGGCAAAGAACATAAAACAACAAAGATAAACAAGTCGACAAAACACTACATAGAAAAATAAAGATTGAGGCCAAAAATCAAATTTAAATTGTTTGATGTTGCCTACCTATCCACCTAAAAAGCAGCCTACCCGAAAAATGTTATGTCACAAATCGTTTCAATTTAAAAAAAAATTAAAAAAAGATTTTTTCCTGCTCTGACTTGGTTTTCTTGTCTAAAACATGTAACTTACACGTATGTTGTTGGCAAAAAAAAAGAAGAAATCCCTACCTACTTACCCAACCCTACAAGGCATGGGTAAGCAACATCAAACAAAGAATTTATCTAGTAACTTGATAACAGTCTCCGAGGGTATCGTCAGCTCAGTAGTCAGTACTTCGGTACTGACATGATTAATTACCAACCTTTGTAAAATGGTCCGTTTATAAATTTTAAAATTATAAAAAAAACTAAGGTTTCAACTCCCTCAGGCAAAGTTGACCTTAGATGGAATTGGCTATTTTTTAAGTACTTTTTGGTTAAATAGCTCTTCAACTGTTTTGGTTCTTATACATCCTCTGCTTTCAAATATTTGGCTTTCAGCGTTCCTAATGAAGGTAAATCCAGAAAAACGCTTCGGATGCATGAAATTAATAACATGTTGTTTTCATTTATTGATATCTTTGACTTGATAATGTCTAGATTAATTGATTTTAGTAACATTTTCTCCTTTAACTTCAAACTGTAAAATAATTACTTTCAGGGAGATTCAGGTAAAGATGGAACACATGGCACTCCTGGAGAACAGGGAACCCCTGGAAAGCCAGGGTTGCCAGGGAGACAGGGTGACCCTGGTCTGAATGGACAGACAGGACAAAAGGTAAGGAACTTTAAGTGAGCTTTTTCATTACTTGGCGTCAGTCGTCCTTCATCGTCTTCTGTTAACGTTTACAAAAATCTTCTCTTCTGAAACTACTGGGCCAAATTTAACCAAACTTGGCCACAATAATCATTGGGGTATTTAGTTTTAAAAAATGTGTCTGATGACCCTGCCTGCAAACCAAGATGGCCGACATTGCTAAAAGTAGAACGTAAAAATGCAAGTTTTGCCTATTATTTTGAAAACCGCTATAAATATGGAAAGTCTGGCAGGATAAGAAATATTCAAAATGTTGAGGTCTACCTACTATTCTTTCACGTCAAAACTGTCAGAGGACTTCTTATAGGAGTTATTTTCTTAAATGATGAATTTTACCATTTTAGAAAAATTTTGCCTATTATCTTGAAAATTATAATAGACAGACAGAATCTTTAAATAGCAAAAATGACCAGCAAGACAAGATCTACAAATAAGTCAACACGAAAGAAATTGTTAATCGACTTCTTATTGAAGTTATTGCCCTTTAATAACGATTTTTCCCATTTTTGCCTATTATCTTGAAAACTGTAATAGATAGATAGAAACTTTAAAAAAACTTATGATCAGCAAGACAAGATCCAAAAATAAGCCATTAATGGTCAAAATCTTTAGTTGACTCGTTATTGGAGCTATTGCCCTTTAATGATAATTTTTTTAACATTTTTTTGCATTTTTTGCCTATTATCTTGAAAACTATAATAGATAAATAGAAACTTTAAAAAGGAATAATTATCAGCAGGATAAGATTTACAAATATGTCAAACATGACTGAAATTATCAGTAAACTCTTAAGGAGTTATTCCCCTGTTACTAAAAAGTGGCCATTGTTGAAGATGCAGGTGAGCGACACATGCTCTTTAGAGCCTCTCGTCATATTAAGGAATTTCAGAGCTGATTTTCCTCATTTTTTCAAATTCATTTAACCCACCTGACAGGTGAGCTATTCTCATTACTTGATGTGTTTTACAAAAACCTTCTAAAATGATATGTACGCAAGGTGAACTTTTTGTGATTTAATCTTTTTTGCCAAATAAGCGAAAAACATTATCTCCTTGTAAAAATGGTCCACTCTATGGTATCTGGCTCTTCATGCTTATTTATTCATTTCACATTTAGAACTTTATCTTTTGATTTCAGGGAGACACAGGTGCACCAGGCAAAAGCATTGAAGGACCCACAGGAGCCACTGGTTCTCCTGGTGTTCAGGGACCAGCAGGACCCCCAGGTCCACCCGGACGAACAATTATTGAAACAGATGGTGGTTCAGGAGAAGTTGATGGTAATGGTGTTACAGGACCAGGCCAAAAGGTAAATCATAAATGGAATATCTGTGGGTTATTCCATTATTAATTATAGGGGTTGATAGGTATAATAAAGGAGTCATGGAGTTCTAAACAAAATTACAAACAGTAATGCAATTTCGCATTAAAATTTATTGTGTGGGGCATCTAGTGCAATAAAATTGGTACTTTTTATGTTAATGATAACCTCTTTTTCTCTTATTTATTGGTGAATTCAAAATGGTTATTGTTAGGCTATTCAAAGTGTTTTTGAATTTTCCCGTATCCCTGTTTGAACCTAATTATATGGTATGTTTTCTTTTCTGTTCTTTCCAGGGAGACAGAGGAGATGCTGGTGCTACTGGACCTGCCGGACCACGAGGAATAGATGGTGTCCCAGGAATACCAGGGGAACCTGGACCTGCTGGACTCCCAGGGCTTCAAGGACTACGAGGAGAAGAGGGTCTGGTTGGACTGAGAGTAAGATAATAAAATAATTGCAATAGTTAAATGTCAGCATCCAGATTCATATTCAAAATCTGGTTAATGCATTTAGATAGAGTCCGAGATCAGCAGTTTGTATTTTTTAATACTTAATCCCTGTAATAATCTGCCTGTGATTTGATGATTTCATGCATTTGTTTATGTTAATATTGTTATTTTAAGCTAACAAACTTTCAATCACACTCAGGTAAAAAGCTAGAGATCAATTGTATCTTAAAGTAATAAATGGTATGTTATCTTTGTTGTTCCCCTTTGCACTGAACAAGTACACCTAGTTTTGAATGAAAATACCTTTTAAAACAACGATTTATAGTGTTAACAATATTTTCATATGAAAATAATAACATAAGCATTACAAATATGACAGTTTTATTAGGATTGGAAAACAAGTGAATTTTTACTTTTACAAATTCCTTTCCTGATAACGATTTATGCCATGACTTGTAAAAGAATAACATATCCCTTGAATTTATTTTAGGGAGCTGATGGTAAAGATGGCAAAGATGGTGAAGCTGGTCCTGAAGGACCATCTGGACCACCAGGTGTCTCTGGAGAAAAAGGAGAACGTGGATTACCTGGTCCAATTGGTGTCCTGCCTCCTGGTGTAACAGGTGGTTTGGGTGAAAAGGTAAGGTTACCAGTTTATAAGATATTGCTTTCAGTTCAATCTGAAATTTCTTTACATATAAATTAAAAAGTTGGATATTTTTAGTCCCCTACCGACGAAGTCGAAGGGGACTTTAGGTTTGCACTCCGTCTGTCTGTCTGTCTGTCTGTCTGTCTGTCCATCCGTCAGTCCGGCAAATCAGTTTTCCACACATTTTTTCTTCGTGCTTGCAGATATTGATTTGATATTTGGTGTGTTGTTTTATCATGACAAGTTACAGATCAAGTTCAAATTTTGTTCTGGTCTGATGATTTTGTGCAGAGTTATGGTCCTTGGACTTAGAGAATTCACTCAAATAATCAGTTTTCCAAATTTTTTTTCGTCATGTTTGAAGGTATTGATTTGATAATTGGTATATAGTTTTATCATGACAAGTTACAGATCAAGTTCGAATTTTGTTCTGGTCTGATGATTTTGTGCAGAGTTATGGTCCTTGGACTTAGAAAATTCACTTAAATAATCAGTTTCCACACTTTTTTCGTCATGCTTGAAGATATTGACTTGATATTTAATATATAGTTTACACCATGACAAGTTATAGATCAAGTTAGCATTTTGTTCCTGTTCAATGAATGTTTATCAGGTAGGGGACTATGTATTGCCATGCAATACTCTCAGAATGCTTGTTAAATCATAAAACCATGAAGCAGTAGACTCCATTCAGAAAATTTCTGGGTTTTTCACTTATTAAAAAAGACTTCTTTATTCATTGTTTGCTACAATTGGGACCCTTTTCCTTTCAGAAACATCCTTTTTGATAAATTGACTTCACAAAACAACCTCTTTTGGACAGTGCTGTTAAATATTGTCTTGTGCCGCTTAAAAATTTATGGGAAAATGTTTTATTCTCCTTAATTGTAGACATACTTTAAATTGATGTATAAAAACTCATCATAGATACCAGGCTCAAAATTTTGTAATCTAGACGCCCATTTCGTCTACTAAAAATTCTTTAGTGACACATGAATCAAAAAAAGTTAAAAAGGCCAAATTCTACAACCTTGAAAATTCAGATAACTCTGCAAAGGACATGCATGTGTCTGAAGCGCTTTTCTGGATTTACCTTCGTGGGGAATGCTCAAAGCCAAAATTTGAAACCCAAGAATTTAGAAGTACTGAAACATTGGAAGAACAATATATATAAAAGAGACCAAAAAATAGTAGCCAAATTCATCTAAACTCAACATTGCTTGAAGTTGTTGAAATTGTCAACCATCATATTTTTCAGCTATAAGCATTAATAGTTTACTATTAATTGAATAAATGGTCCTGTTATATGTTTGATCATGTTTGTGTTTTATTTAATCATTAGCACAATGTGACACACTTTGTAATCACAAATTATCTTTGTTATTATACTTCACATAGGGAGAAAAGGGTGATAACGGAGAACCTGGACCAATGGGACCAGAAGGCCCTCAAGGACCAGTTGGACCAAGAGGATTTAGAGGTCCTAAAGGAGACATTGGAATGACTGGACTGCCTGTATGTTAAGATTACAGTGACTAATAATATTTAATGCATGATGGAACTGTTAAAAATTCTAATAAAACATCGTTTGTAAAGTTCATTTTGATTGGATAACTGCACCAATTTTCATGGCATCAAATCACACAATTGATGCTATGAAAATGTAGGCACAAGCGCTTAAGATGTATGACAGATTTTAAATGTATGATTTGACGTTGTTTTCTGTCAGTTTCATTAGAATGGAGATAACTAACAATATTGTATTTTAAGCTCCGACAGCATCAATTGGTGATTTGATGGTCGTAAATACCCGTTTACTGGCTTCACTAATGCGTCGCCAGTAAACTTAATTTCCGACCATCAAATCACCAATTGATGCTGTCAGAGCTTTAAATACAATACAGTTATCTCCTAAATGGCAGTCCATGAAACATAATGAATGAAAACACATTAGCACAGTAACGACTGTAAATTCATAAATAAGTGCACGCATTTATTTTGATTTTGGAAGAATGAACAAAAAAGTGAGATTGAATATTGCTATTTTAGGAAAAGTTACATACAGATATATGGATTAGATATCAGAATGCAAGTTCTTATTATTGCGATACTCAACGGTGTCGCATTATTCGCATTAATAAAAACCTCACAATAATTTCTTAATTTACAGTATTATTAAAAAACACATAAATTTTACGCATCAATAAATTCCATTAAAAAATGATGTTTATAATCCTATCACTCCAATAAGATGCACTAAAAATTATGACCAGATCTAAATTTTGATCAAGACTTACAGAACTATTTTGCTTGTGTAGGAATTCATACTTGTGACATCATGAAGCAGTTCCATACATGTATAAATTGTTAAATTGCCATGTCACTCACCAATGCAAAAAGACTTATCAGACAATCTTGAATATGAATATAAAGTAATCTACAAAAGTGATAATAATGTAAACTTGAACATTCTAATGATTGTGAAAATGTTTTAAGGTGGTACCAAACACTTTGACTAAAATAAGTTTGGCTCATTTAATTTTCATAAAATTTTGACAAAATATTTACTTTGACCCTTTGACAAAATTATAAAAATTTCAAAAACTTGAACCACACACTTTATCGGAAAAATTTCATTGGATATATAGTAGTTTAATAAACACTAATTTTGATCATTGGGAAGCTTTGTATTTTCTTAACAATAGAACGTGATTAAAACGTTCAGCTGATTTTTACAGAGTTATCTCCCTGTAGTGTTATGTACCACTTTAACAAAAGATAAATATGAAACTGATTAGACGATAGAAAAATATGAAACTGATTAAACGAAAGAAAATTGTTGAATGTTACAGGGATATAGAGGACTAAGAGGAAGAAAAGGAGACCGTGGACGTCCAGGATTTAATGGTCTCCGTGGATACAAGGGAGATAGTGGTACAACTGGTCCAGCTGGACCACCAGGACTCGGATTTGCTGGAAGTGGAGAAATTCTGAAAGGAGCTAAGGTAAATTCTAAAAAAGTTGTTCAAATTGTGCATTAAAGAGAAGGGACAACTCCAGATGTTTACATACAAAGATGTACAAATTTTCCCTTATTGGTACCAATTAAGTCCGATAATTTAGTTGTTCTAGTCAGCTTTTTGCTATGGATTTTGAGTTCCTTTTTTAGCTCACCTGGCCCGAAGGGCCAAGTGAGCTTTTCTCATCACTTGGCGTCCTTAGTCCGGCGTCGGTGTAAACTTTTTACATTTTGAACTTCTTCTAGAGAATCACTGAATGGAATTAAACCAAACATGGCATGAATGTTCCTTATGAGGTGCTGACCAAGTGTTGTTACTTTGTAGCGGATCCATCATCCAAGATGGCCGCCAGCGGGGGACTTAGTTTAACATAGGACCCTATGGGAAATACATACAAATGTCTTCTTTTAGAGAACCACTGAATGCAATGAAACCAAACATGGCATGAATGTTCCTTATGAGGTGCTGACCGAGTGTTGTTACTATGAAGCCGATCCATAATCTAAGATGGCCGCCAGCGGGGGACTTAGTTTAACATGGGACCCTATGGGAAATACATACAAATGTCTTCTTTTAGAGAACCACTGAATGGAATGAAACCAAACATGGCATGAATGTTCCTTATGAGGTGCTGACCAAGTGTTGTTACTATGAAGCTGATCCATAATCCAAGATGGCCGCCAGCAGGGGACTTAGTTTAACATGGGCCCGTTTGGGAAATACATACAAATGTCTTCTTTTAGAGAACCACTGAATGGAATGAAACCAAACATGGCATGAATGTTCTATATGAGGTGCTGACCGAGTGTTGTTACTTTGAAGCCGATCCATAATCCAAGATGGCCGCCTGCAGGGGACTAAGTTTAACATAGGACCCTATGGGAAATACATACAAATGTCTTCTTTTAGAGAACCACTGAATGCAATGAAACCAAACATGGCATGAATGTTCCTTATGAGGTGCTGACCGAGTGTTGTTACTATGAAGCTGATCCATAATCCAAGATGGCCGCCAGCAGGGGACTTAGTTTAACATAGGACCCTATTGGAAATACATACAAATGTCTTCTTTTAGAGAACCACTGAATGGAATGAAACCAAACATTTCATGAATGTTTCTTTTGAGGTGTTGACTGAGTGTTGTTACTTTGAAGCCGATCCATAATAAATCCAAGATGGCCGCCTGCAGGGGACTTAGTTTAACATGGAACCCTATGAGAAATACATACAAATGTCTTCTTTTAGAGAACCACTGAATGGAATGAAACCAAACATGGCATGAATGTTCCTTATGAGGTGCTGACCGAGTGTTGTTACTTTGAAGCCGATCCATAATCCAAGATGGCTGCCAGCGGGGGACTTAGTTTAACATAGGACCCAATGGGAAATACATACTAATGTCTTCTTTTAGAGAAACACTGAATGGAATGAAACCAAACATGGTATTAATGTTCCTTATGAGGTGCTGACCGAGTGTTGTTACTTTGAAGCCGATCCATAATCCAAGATGGCCGCCAGCGGGGGACTTATTTTAACATGGGACCCTATGGGAAATACATACAAATGTCTTCTTTTAGAGAACCACTGAATGGAATGAAACCAAACATGGCATGAATGTTCCTTATGAGGTGCTGACCAAGTATTGTTACTATGAAGCTGATCTATAATCCAAGATGGCCGCCAGCAGGGGACTTAGTTTAACATTGGACCCTAAGGGAAATACATACAAATGTCTTCTTTTAGAGAACCACTGAATGGAATGAAACCAAACATGGCATGAATGTTCCTTATGAGGTGCTGACCAAGTGATGTTACTATGAAGCTGATCCATAATCCAAGATGGCCGCCACCAGGGGACTTAGTTTAACATAGGACTCTATTGGAAATACATACAAATGTCTTCTTTTAGAGAACCACTGAATGGAATGAAACCAAACATTTCATGAATGTTTCTTTTGAGGTGTTGACCGAGTGTTGTTACTTTGAAGCCGATCCATAATAAATCCAAGATGGCCGCCTGCAGGGGACTTAGTTTAACATGGAACCCTATGAGAAATACATACAAATGTCTTCATTTAGAGAACCACTAAATGGAATGAAACTAAACATGGCATGAATGTTCTATATGAGGTGCTGACCGAGTGTTGTTACTTTGAAGCCGATCCATAATCCAAGATGGCCGCCAGCGGGGGACTAAGTTTAACATAGGACCCTATGGGAAATACATACAAATGTCTTCTTTTAGAGAACCACTGAATGCAATGAAACCAAACATGGCATGAATGTTCCTTATGAGGTGCTGACCGAGTGTTGTTACTATGAAGCCGATCCATAATCTAAGATGGCCGCCAGCGGAGGACTTAGTTTAACATAGGACCCTAAGAGAAATACGTACAAATGTTTTCTTTTAGAGAACCATTGAATGGAATGAAACCAAACATGGCATGCATGTTCCTTTTGAGGTGCTGACCAAGTGTAGTTACTTTGAAGCTGATCCTTCATCCATGATGGCTGCCAGATGGGGACAATGTTTAACAAAGGACCCTATGGACAATACATACAAATGTCTCCTTTTAGAGAACCACATACTGAATGGATTGAAACCAAACATAGCATGAATGTTCCTTACGAGGTGCTTACTAAGTTTTGTTACTTTGAAGCTGATCCTTCATCCATGATGGCCGCCAATGGGGGAACTTCCTTTAACATAAGACCCTATGGGAAATACATACAAATGCTTCTTCTAGAGGTGCACTGAATGGAATGAAACCAAAACATGGCATAAATGTTTCTTATGAGGTGCTGATTAAGTGTTGCTACTTTGTTGCCGATTTACTGTTCAAGATGGCCACCAGGATTTTTTATTAAATTACAGGACCAATATTAAACCAAATTTGGCCTCACTCATTATTAGGGTATCTGTTATGATTTTAATCTATTTTTACATGATTTCCAAAACCAAAGTAGAATCAGGTGAGCGACACAGGCTCTTGAGAGCCTCTAGTTGTATTTACATGTCCTGTTTTATCCTCAAGTTTACTTACTGCAAGTTTAAAAATTCATGAAAATGTTGGTTCAGAATTTTTTCCCTTTTTTTTAGGTCCATTTCTGCCTTTTGTATTATGCAAATTGAAGAAATCATGGAAAAGTTAAAAAAAAAAAACACACAATCAAATAAACACTATGAAATAATATTATCGCTATTTTACGAAACTTTCTTTTGATCTTACTGACTGATAATTTCCTTTCTCAGCACAGTAGAGTGATATGAAAAATTATCGCTAGAAACTAAGGGCACATGTGCCGTTGTCAATGAAATTAGTAACGTCGTCATAGGTAAAATAGCGATAAACAGATTATCATTGGTCATCTCAACTCGATTGCTTTTCTCACTTTCGCCGTAACGATAATCTATAAGTATTATATTTCAGGGAGATACTGGAGAAAGAGGATTACCTGGTATACCTGGCTCACCTGGTATTGGGGCTCAAGGTAGATAACTTATTTGACATAAAATCATTACTTGTATTATTTTATATATTATGGTCGTTCTGAAGACTACATGTATAACAGTTTAGAATTAATTGATTTTGATTTATTTATATAATTGTACAAATGTATTGTCATTGCTGTGCTCTTAAAGTTAGCATTAATGGTTAGATTTGTCTTTTCTGGTCTAGATAGACTCTATTAGAAATCAAGAACAATATTGTTGAATTTCGTTTTGCTGTTCAGGAGTTATGGTTCTTGATTATTTGAAAAATCTAGCTTTATATCATTTTCAGACGTTACCTTGAGAATTGATCAACCAATTCAATTTCAAATGTTTTGAATCTTGAATATAATGACAAAATTGAGGTTATAAGGATGTTCACTACTCTGTTTTAAAATAACAAGCTTTTTAAAAGACTGTTTTAAATTGATAGTATATAAATAAAGGAACTAAAAAAGCAGAAAAAAATGAAGGGTCCGTGGGCTTGTTTTCGAGATATAAGCTGTTGAAAATTTGGCGGGAAATAATTCTCTCTAGATTTTTCATACATTTAACATTGGCACCTTTTTTCTTTTAAAAACGATGAAAAAATAACAAGGATTTTATAAGATTTTCAAAGACGACATTTTAAACTATATGTAATCAAATTATGGAAAGAAAAGTAGGGGCTAGTGGGCAAAATTTTTAATGGCACTACATGGATAAAAACCAGAGGATTCTGAATATCTGGAAAAAATTCAAAAACAAGAGAAGCGAACATCCTTAAAGTCTCATGTTCTGGAGTAATGGCTGTGGATTGCTTTTAACAATGACACTCATGTATGTTACAAGGAACAAGTTTGTTGTTATTTTGACAGCTGTTATTTTACTCTGTTGTTAATCGTGGAACTGTGTTTTATATTTGCCCATTAGTTTTTTTTATAAGAAAAAGCACAAAACAGATAAAAACTATGCAGATTTAATATTATTTACACATCTTTCTGTGATAGACACTATGGGATAGCTTTACATAATAACAATAGGATTTGTAAAACATAGTGACATTGACAGTAGTCTATAGGTAGTTAAGTTACTATGGTAACTGTTTTTTCAGGTCCAAGAGGAGACCAAGGAGAAGCTGGCAGAAATGTAAGTATCAGACGATAAATAAATACTGGGTAAAAAGAATTGACCACAATTCACATTTTCTTGCATAGTGAAATGCATAGCCTCAAGGGAACTAAATGAACATGAAGATTAGTATTGTAAGGTTGCATTTCATCTTTATTGTGGACGTCAAAAATGAGTTAAGAAAGTTTAATACAAATTCAAGACAGATTTAGCATTTGCTGTTTCATAACCTAAAGGACCATGGGTAATCTCATTGTTCGTACCCCAAAATGAAAATAATGTTACTTTATTGGTTGAATTTCAATTTTTTGGGACGTTGTTAGCCAATCACAGCGTTTTGGTGTACACTTTTGAAATATTACCTAGAATGCATTAGATTCTGAAACGGTGAATTGACTATGATGATCATCTTAGTTGTCAGTTTGAGGTGTTGAATCAAAAGCATTGTGTTGGGGGAAATGCTATGTTCCATTGACTCCAATATTATGGTGAATGAGTTAGGAAAAATTCACTGTCAATGCATTTGGAAAAGATTGCATGTATATAACTAGCACACTGTCGTCTAATAAATTGTTTGAACTTTATTTACTTATTAGTAAAATTATCAAAAATGGCTGAGAATCTCGGATATGAACTTGTTAGCTGAGCACATGCATTAGCATGATACAATTACCAGCTGTCAAATCATGGCAATGAAATCCTTGTGAAGATGTGCAAAATGAAAGAAGAATGTGTCTGAGAACACGAATGCCCCTGCTCAAGTTTTGCAATTTTCCAAATTTAAAAGGGGCATAACTCTAGAACGGTGAATGACTCACCGCCCAAATTGGATTTCCTGATGAAAGGACGGAAGGATGGTCAAGGGTAACACTTAATGCCCCAATTGCCTACAGTGGGGGCATATAAAAGGCTGAAGATTAAAATTCGTAAGTTGAAGATAAACTGACAATACCATGGTAAAAACAAATGACCATGAATAGACAAACAAGTCCACAAAACATTACATAGAAAACTAAAGATTGAGCAACAGAAACCACATCAAAAACTGGGAGGTAATCTTAGGTGCTCCCAAAGCATTATTAATAAGACCTTGTTTGAAATTTATACAACTGAAAGACTGGGTTCTCCTGGAAAAGTTACCAGAGGGTCAACAACCTGACCTCAACAATCTATTAGCAACATACCCTGATCTACACTAAAAATATAAACATACTTTTAATTTATAGGGTTTACCTGGATTCCAAGGCCCACCTGGACCTGCTGGACCAGCTGGAACAGGAGAAGCCATCAGAGGCCCGCCAGGACCTCCTGGTCCACCCGGACCCTCAGGTGTTGGTTCAAGTGGAGGAGGAGGAGGCGTAAGTTTTTTGGGGGATTCTTTTTCTGACATTTTCCAAATATCAGTATGAATAAAAGGAGACGCAGGTAATACTGTGGATTCATTATAATTCGTGGGGTACAAATTTTTCGTGGATTTCATTGGTAATTATAAACCACAAATTTAAGTGTTTAATGAAGTTTTATTTTCTATAGACTTATAAGCAGACTATGTCAAATTTACGATATCAAATATCCGTGAATTGTTTATATCTATTGATGTGAGCTCCCTTTCGATTTTCATGAATTTTAGATTTTACGTTTCCAAGTTATGGGGTTTTATTCATTAAAAAAGGGGGAATTTCTAGTTTTCGGACAAAACTCAAAAATGCTTTGAATAGTTTTCATGAAACTTTGGTGACTGGTTTTATATCTGTTGAAAAAGCGATGGGCTTATCATGCGCTCAAGGTGCAGCTGTTTATTCCATATTGGATTACAATTTACACACATCAGTCATACACTTCAAAGTACAGGCATGGTTTGGATCACTGATATGTGGTCTGCTTGAAATATTAAGGTTTGTTTAATGTCACATGATACAACTTTTTCAACCTCCATATTGAAAACTAAACTCCCTATAAGGAGCAATACATTTTATATGTTTTCATTATTGCCTGACAATTTTCTTATTGCAAAGCGACATTAATTGTTGAAATGAGCATCTGTTGTAGTAAAATTGGTACCGTCAATGTTATTTCAGATTGCACAAAATTTTCCAGCAATTTTCATATGTTAAATAAGTAAATAAGTTAATGTCTTCCAATTTGAATAATTCGTTATGACAAGGATTATAATTGATCTTTAATAACAATAGGGTGCCGTGACCTACAGGAATCGTAATGAGTTGATGTCAGTGGCTAGAAACCTTCCTGTCGGAACCATGTGTTATCTGATACAAGAAGAGGAGGTTTATCTCCGTGTCAACAAAGGTTTCCGTGTTATAGAGGTAAGCTTAAATGTATCAGGAAAGACGAGGGTGGGTTGAAATTGAACACATGTATGTTTTATACTGTAAAAATGCTTGTGTCAAAAGTTGATCTGTATGAAAGTTCAGCATATAATGTGAGAATAAATTTGTGTCGGAATTTTAGATAATGTGCGTGTGTATTTGTACATGTAGGCCTCAGTTGTGTGTAATGTGCGTGTGTATTTGTACATGTAGGTCTCGGTTGTCAACCATTGAGATGAGTGTAGAGTTTTTGTGTATTCACTCTTTTTGCCAGCATACAACAAGTGATAACAAAATATAAATGTAGGCATTTTGTTTGTATATTCATTTTAATAAGTCTGCAGTGAGATGCATTATGTTAAATCTAACATAGGCATGTTATGATTCACACACAATCTGATCCAGTACAAATTACAGCTTAAATTATTTGAATATGAAAGTTAATTTCATTTGTTTGGTAGTAAAAAAATACTGTGAATTCAAATCATCATGAATATGTCAAACTAGGGTCTCCCTTTAATTTAATACTGTAAATTCAGAAATTATTGCGATGTTTTTATTATTGCGAAAAATGCGACAGGGTTATAATCGCAATAATTTAAACTCTCAATTTGAAATTTTTTATATGAATTAAACAGGATTAATTTTCTCAATTTCGCAAAAATTAAAATCGCATTTTAGTCTAAAATGACAAAATCGCAATAATAAATGCACGCAATAATTTCTGAATTTACAGTACATAAAAAATGTAATTATTGCTCAAATAAATTGCTGTAAAGTAGCTAGAAAAGGTTTAAACTAGGTTACATTATTGTTTAGGGGCCAGCTAAAGCCCACCTCCAGGTGCAAGATTTTCTCACTGTGTTGAAGACCCATTGGTGGCTGCATGTCTGTGGGCTGTTTTCTGCTCTTTGATCGGGTTGTTGTCTCTTTGACACATTAATTATTAACACGTAAAAATTGTCCAGGAATATAAGTTGGTGTAGGGTATCATATTTAAAACATTTGGATAAGGGAATTTTTATAATCCGTGCATTTAGTGTGAAAGTCAAGGTATTGCTGGATCAGATTTTTTCTCTCTTGTATCTAATAGAAAATTTTTTAGTAGGTCTCTTTGTAGATACCTATATATTTTTCATGAATTTAACAAAGTGCAACTGTATTCTTAACATATTTAAAGATATATTTCATAACAACTTACTCTTCTTTTTTTTTTTTACGTAAGATAGATATACATGTAACCAATTCTAGAAAATACAGTGATAGCTTTTAATAAATGGGAGTACTGTATGCCTATGCTAACATACATAAAGTTGTAGGAAAATAGCAACTACTTATAATAATTTAGAAGTCTGCACACAAAATTTGATCTTGTTTTTTAGGCAGTTTGTATATGACTTGTTTATTTTAGGCAATTTTCTAGATGACAATTTAGTTTAGGCAACTTTTTCTAGAAGAGACATAAATTAGATTGTGTGGAAAATTTAAGTAGTTGATAAGCACTGGCTAACATATTAATAAACTTTATAAACATATATAGATGCAATAATCAACAATAATTGTTAGTTTTGTAGGCACAAAGGGAAAAAGGCTCCAAAGGGAGAATAATTAGCAAAAAGTTAAAACAGAAACCATTTATGTGTTAACCAATCTTATTTTACTGGCAGGAACACTTAATTCTGATATTTTGCTATAGAAGATTTTTCAGAAATGTGCTTTTAGAATTGAAATTGATAAAAATTAGTTTTATTCAAGCAATTTAACTCTTTGGATTTCAAAGCTATCTATTTTTTACAAATGCTCTAGTAACAAACAAAATTGAAGTGACCAGTTATAAGTAAATTGGTTAACAGATGAAGGGTTTTTGTTGTAGTAATTCTCAGATTGATAAGGGCTCATCATTTATAGCAGTCAACATATAGTTGACTGTTTATTAAATTGATTCTTTATGTCATAACCATGACAACAAGGTGAAGAAATTATATTGTATTACAGAAGTTTCTGAGTGTGACCAATCAATGAACAATCCAGTTTTTAAATTCAATATATTAAAAATCGTTTTTTATATTAACTTCATTTTTTCGTGACTTTGAAATTGTAGACAAATTTTATAAAGGTGAGTGACCACACAGACGGTGTTAGACTACAAGAGTTTTGCATTTGCTTGTGTATAAAACAATGGCCACGTTTTAGCTTTTTCTTTTCATTGTTTGGCTTACCTTTCATTTTCAACCCTTCATTTATTATTATCATTGCTTTAAAGGAGTCATGTCTGAGGTGATGAACTGTAACAATGATTGTAAAATATTGTTTTTAATAAAGATTTGAAAGAAGAAAGGATATGGTCATTACAGCAAAATAATTCACAAGGCATGAAAGCCAAAAAAAATAGTTTTTATTGCTGTTCCTCATCTCTAAGTTACAGTGAGGCCCATTTAACACTTACGAAAAACCTAATTGCAAATTCAAGGTATATCTTGATATCTAGTCACTGATATTACAGCTATTAAATCAATTCGACAGCTCTTAAAGGGCTAGGTTTGGGGAATATTGGATGGGATCAAAACTTGTTATTTTTCAACGAGCTCAATGTTCCCTCAAAAAATGAAAAAAAGGAGATGTGGGGTATGCATAGAAGAAGAGAGCAACCCATTGACATGAATTACTAAAAGACATCTTGAGGTCAAAATATGGCACTTGACAATAAATAAGACAATATTTCAAGTTCTAAATTATGTTGATCCTAGAGAAGTTGTAAAAATATTGAAAACAAACATCCAAGTCCTGTCATCAATAATAAGTTGACAATTTGACAAGACATTGAAATTGAACAAACAACAACTCTTGGCGAGGTTCCTTACATGGGATGGCCACATGGACATGTTGGGAGTTTTTTTTTTTAGATTTATACCTCAATGTGATGTACATTTTTCCAATTTCTTCCAGACATGATTCAAATGATATCCCTAAGCTGAAAAATCCAAGATCCAAGGAATTTTTAAAACAAATGTTGATTTTTGCTTTCATTTTGACATTGTAATCATATTCCATCAATAAAAGCATTTTTTTTTTGTGTATTCACATATATGTTGTATATATGGGTATGTAAGTAATATATGAAAAAGTATATTGCTTCTCCTCCTGTATGTATCAAATATTTGATAATATTGAAATTTTCAGAATATATAAAGAGTACTGTGGATTCATTATTATTCGTTGGATACCAATTTTTGTGGGTTTCGTGGATACAGGTGAACCACGAATTCAAATGTTCAACGAACTAAAACTTTTCTATAGGCTTTGTATGCAGATATTGGCTAAACCACAAAATCAAATACCCACGAAAATGCAAGTTTTCCTCCATCCACGAAAATTGGTACCCACGAAAATAAATGAATCAAAATTATAATTTAGCTACACCAAGTTACTTGTTAAATTTAATCTATAATAAAAGTTATGCTCTTTTATACAAAAATCTTCTGGTTTAAAAGTAGGTGTTATGATCAAATGATACTGATTTAACAAGAGCCTCTTCTTCATGTTTTTTTATTCTAAACTTTCTGTAAAAGAAAATGGCATAATTTAAGGTGGTACCAAACAACTTGACTAACATTAATTTGGCTCCTTTAATTTTGATAAAATTTTGACAAAATATTTACATTGACCCTTTGACAAAAATATAAAAATTTCAAAAAACTTGAACCACACTTTAAATCGGAAAAATTTCATTTGGATATAGAGCAGTTTGACAAACACTAATTTTGATCATTGAGAAGCTTAATATTTCCTTAACAATAGAACATGATTAAAACGCTCAGCTGATTTTTACAGAGTTATCTCCCTGTAGTGTTATGCACCACCTTAAATCCTGTACCTGGGTACATGTTTAATAATAGACTATAACAATAAAAAATTTAAAATACGAGTTTCAATGGTATATGATGTTTAGCTTGTATTTTTGTTTTTCAATTATGAAAACTAAGAACAAGAGATTCTTTTAAAAGCCTTGATTATTTATTGAGCTTTGATTTGCATAGTTTGTATGAGTTGTTTATTGAGCATAATTTATCATCAACATCACAGTGGCAGTAAGAAAACTATTTGAAAGAAGAAGCCAAAACAACATTGGTAGTAAAGTACAACTAACAATGGAAATTATTTCATTCTTAAGAATGTTCGCTTGTCATGTTTTGGAATTTTTGTCAGATTTTCGGAATCCTCTGGTTTTATCCATTTGAATGCCTTAAAATATTTTGCCAACTAACCCCCATTTTTCTTTTTATAAATCTTTTACATGTATAAATATAGGGCATCTGTAAAAGCCTTATAAAATCTTTGTTATTTTTTAATAGTTTTTGAGAACTTAAACTTGTCAATGATAAAGCTATGAAAAATCAAGAGAGAACATTTTCCCTCCAAAATTTCAATGGCTAATATCTCAAAAACAAGCACACGGACCTATATTTTTTTTCGCTCTTTTGGTTCCTTTATGAGACCCCTATCAATATATTCTAGAGTTATGAAAAGCTTGTTATTTTTAAATTGAGTAGCGATGAGTTTTCAATTTAATTTATTTGTACAGCATCTTAATATTCTTTTTATTGTAAATTGAATCTTGCAAATTTTTCAACAATAAACTTAAAAGATTTTTTTTGCTTTTAAAGTTGGGATTTATTGCTATCTACAAAGTTGGAATTATCAGGAGAAATTTAGAATTCCCATTGAAAGAACTCCACAGAGAACAATAGCTATTGTATTGATCTTATATGACAGTTCACTTAGCAAAAATTTAAATAGCCAGCTAAACACCAAATGATTCTGGGGGAAGGTTTTATTTCACTTTGCAATAAAAAAAAAATAATTACAATTTTTTTTAATTTTCTCAAAATAATCTTGACTAAAATCTTATAAGATTTTCTTATTAGATCTTTTGAATGTAAAAATTTAATGTTATTTTAGTAATTCCGATCTATTACTCTGTAGAGTATTTTTAGACTTATCAATTCAAATAGGTTTTTTTTCTGAATTCTGCCATTGTTATATATTGATAGTTTTGGCTTTGCTTGAATGATATGTTACCTAACCCTGCACATGTTGAAGGCTGTTGCATACACGAATGGATATACTAACACTTTTTCCTGTCTATATTGACTATTCCATCATTTCTTATTTTCTTATTTACTTCATTCTTCTAGGAAACTGTTATCTTGCTTTGATCTCTTCATCAGTGTACATTTTTCAGATATTGTAGATGATTCTCAGTTTGTCTTTAATTTGGAAATTTTCATCCATAGACTGGTCTCTTCTTGTAAAAATTCCCTTTCACCATATTGACTTTGAATTGAAGTTTTATGGCAAATATCAATTGTAAAAACTGTTTTCAGTGGAGATTCAAGATCTCCCAATTTAAAACTTTGAAGTTGAAACCCTTACAATTAAATTATTTTGCATGTCCTAATATTTTGTTCATTTCTACATAAAAGTTTACTTGAATCTTTGATAAACCAATGATTTTGTATTAACATTGTCAATACAGCATATGAAGAATGTAGGACAGAAAGTCACAGGACAAAAAGGTCACAGACAAAAAGTCACAGGACAAAAAGTCACAATTCAGTTTTGAGATTTTTTTTCTTTAAACAAGAAAACACTAATTTAAAAAATTAAATTTTTGTTTTTTCTTGAACTATTATATATGAAGCAACTTTGTAATTAAAATTTATTCAATAAATATCAATAATAATCAAATAATTGTTATGAAAACAAAATGTCAAAGTGGCTTGGTACTTAAATGGCTTCATTGTGCCAAGAAATATATCCTTTGCATGATTAGAATTTAATAAATTTTCATTTATCAAGGCTAATGAACAATTTCCTAAACTTAAAAATGAATATATGTAATAAAAAGAAAATATTTCAAGATCTTTCTCTTATATATTCAAACAATTGTCAACAAATTATTGTGACTTTTTGTCCTATCAAATTTTGGACTTTATGTCCTGTGACTTTTTGTCCTGTGACTTTCTGTCCGTTTACCCATACGAAGTACTAAGAACAAATAGTATGCTCCATACAGAAGATGTGCACCACTTGTAAGATAAAAGATCAGCTACTGATATTAACATCCCAAGTTACCCTAAGGTTTTAAAGTGGTGAAATTTATATGCATAATTCTATTTTGTTATTTTCCAGCTTGGTCAAACAGTGGCATTGCCTCCTAAAACTACTCCTGCTGTAAGTATAATAAAACAGGTTTTTTGATTGGTTGAGTTTAGGTAAATATTCACCAACCACAATGAGTGTTAGTTTTGATTCCCTGATATTTCAAGTTTGAATTGATGAGTTTTGTTACATTTTACTTAAATGACAATTTTGCTTGATATAGTGTGACTTCAGTAGGTTTGTTTGATAAATATTATTATTTAGAAAATTTAGACAAACCAAATATTTTGTAATAAGCTCACATGTGTTTGTTTTTTGAAGTTCTTTGGATTGCCTTCTTTCACTCACAGTTATAGGACAAACGCCAGATTGCTCGAGACATTTTGTTTTTAATAAAACACTTTTACCCAAATCTTTGTGTAAAAGATAAGTTTTTCAATGTTTTAAAATTGAAACTGTAATGACTCCATCTGGTACGTGAAAAAAGTTTACTGGAAAAAATTGTTTATAAAGATCTATGTCCAAAATTTTACCTTTTGAAAATCCAAAGAACAAAGGAACAAATTAGTTATTAAAAGCATAGAAAAGTGATGTGTTTTATTTGATTTTTAGGCTGCTGTGAGACCCTTGGTAATTTTTACTTGCTTTCATAAAAGATCACGTTTTTAATTCTATTCTGCTGAATTCACTAATGCAACATCTTTGACAGAAAAGCTGCCATATCAAATAAGGGGAGGCAACTCAATGTTATTTCAATGTAGGCAACATCAACAAACATATTTATGTATTGTGCAAAATTGTAGAAAAGGGGATATCTATTTACCTATGAGGATGATTTAAGGATGTTAAGTCATGTCAGGTTAAGGAATTTTTGTCAGATGTTCGGACTCCTTGGGTTTTTTCCTACTATACAGGGTAAAATATTTTGCCCCATATTACCCACTTTTCTTTTAATAGATGACTTTAATAGGTCATAAAAAGTCATTACCAAAATTTAAGCAGATTCTAGATTTCTTTTCTTACTATTCAGACCCAAATAATGTCAATGCTAAATATAAGGTAAAAGTATGAGTCAGCCTTTTCCCGCCATTTTTAAAAAAATCAAATATCTTGAAAAGTAGTTCCAAAACCTGTCAATATTTTTAGCTTATTTTGTTCCTTAACTAATGCTCTTCTGATTTATAGTATCAATTTTAAATTCCAGATTTATTAAATTTCACCTGACTCCATCCTTAATTATGATTTGTTTTGAAGTTAATTAATATTGCAACCAATAGTGTTTTTCAAATATCTATTTCATTTATTTACTAATAAAAATTCAACACAACTTTTAAAAAAGAGATCAAAAATGAAATAGTATTAAATGCTTTTAAAAATTTTGATTAATCCTACTTCAAATCTTTAAAAAAAAATAATAAGGCTCATTTGAATCTAATGGTAGTTAAAAGTGACGTTTAAGGCTTGATGATAACAATGCTATTCTCTCCTCGTAAAAGCAGTTTAATGAGTATATTGAAATTGTAGAAACAGTCTCCAACTGAAAAAAAAGTTTATAATGTTTGATGTTTAGGGCTATTCCATTAAAATGTATGTGGGAGGGTAGGAAGGGACTTTCAAAATATCCCTACAACCAAGAACTATTTTTTAGATAATTTTGCATAATGGTAATAGACGCATACTGAAAAAAGACCCATGACCCACATTCAATAATTAAACTTCCCTTCCTACCCTCCCACATACATTTTAATGGAATAGCCCTTATCTTCATTTCAATGAAGCCTATTTATCTCGGGTTTTGGCAGCTTTTCTGTATTGCTTAGTTTTATTGGTACGGAGCTTAAAATGCCCAGCTTTATCATTTAAAAACACTCACAGAGTATGATTTTTTTATAACTGAATTCTCAATTGTTTTAGAATAATTTTAATAGCTAGTTTTAAATATGTAACCAAAGAAATGTTTTTTGGTGAAGTTATCTCCTCTTTAAACACTCAACAATTTATTGCATTATAAATTTTGCTTTGCAGCTTTTATACTAGATTCATCCACTTTTTATTCTTTGGAATTTGTTCAGCATATGCTTGAATTATTGCTGCTGAATTTTATGCAAACAACAATTAATCAACAATTAATGAACTGATTTTTATGCCCAACCTACGATAGTATAAGGGCGTTATGTTTTTCGGTCTGTGCATCCGTTGGTTTGTTCGTCTGTTCGTCTGTCTGTCCCGCTTCAGGTTAAAGTTTTTGGTCAAGGTAGTTTTTGATGAAGTTGAAATCCAATCAACTTGAAACTTAGTACACATGTTCCCTATGATATGATCTTTCTAATTTTAATGCCAAATTAGAGTTTTGACCCCAATTTCACAGTCCACTAAACATAGAAAATGATAGTGCGAGTGGGCAGGTTAAAGTTTTTGGTCACGGAAGTTTTTGAAGAAGTTGAAGTCCAATCAACTTGAAACTTAGCACACATGTTCCCTATGATATGATCTTTCTAATTTTTATGCCAATTTAGAGTTTTGACCCCAATTTCACAGTCCACTGAACATATAAATTGATAGTGCGAGTGGGGCATCCATGTACTACAGACACATTCTTGTTTCTATATTCATTAGGTTGCATTAAGCAAGAAAGTTTGTTTCCTAAAATTAACAACACTTTTGTGTTTTTGTGGTAGCTTGCCCGCCTAGAGAGAGTGAGATCATAGGTTCCAATCCAGGTTGAGTCAAACTAAAGACTTTAACATAAGTATCTGCTTTTTTCCATCAAACAAAGACTGGAAGACTCTTCTTCATGATGGAGAGTTGTCTCATTGGCACTCATACCACATCTTCCTATATCTACTATATCTCCAGGTAGGGTTATGTTTTGTTCTGCGTCATCTTGTAAACTGTCATCTTACAAATCTTGCTCTTGACAAGAGTCTTTGGACTCTGATCTTAATTGACTAGAATTGTCTGCTTTCCTGTTGAAGGTTGGTGGTTCTCTCTGGTGACTCTGGTGACTCTTGTGACTCTACAAATTTAAAATGTCTGCCATAATATAGACAAGGATGCTAAATTTTTATTACCACAAAACTCCGAACAAGTTTCAAATTTGGGTAGCGTCATTTTTACCGTTCTTCAGTTATGTCCCTATATAACTATATGATATGCAAGCGGAGGCATCATCTGTGTCCACATGTGGACGCTATCCACATTTATTTACACTTAATAAAATTAAAAGCACAGGAACTACACTTTTATTGCTGTTCTTCATATCCAAGTCAAGAGAGGCCTACTTTTGATTTACATCAGGATTCTAACTCGTCAAATGTTGATCGTTCTCGTCCTGAATCTTGATAAAAGATTACCCCCTGGATGTTCAATATCTATCTGTTTGTTGAAAAATGAATGGTATTTGAAGAGCCCAATGGACGACTTTCGAATTTGTGCATTTTCCCGTACATTTCCTATGTCACAGTGCTTATGTTATTATGTCACAGTAAGAACGGATTGTTCTGTGACGTCGTTTACGCCGATTGACCCCAGGTTAATCAGTGTAACTAATTCATACAAAACAACTCGAGATTTGGTGTATAAAAAGCATTTCAAGTCGTTTAATAGCTGAAGGAATACCCCACTTTTACAAAATGTTAGGAAAGTTTGTTTACTCTGAATGATATTTGTTTTCATGACTTTTTCTTATCTAAAGATGCTCAACAATGACCCATTAAAGAACATTCTCTTTCTCGTTTCAAAACCTTGCCAAATTTTCTTTACATCATTTCCTTAATAGGGCTAGAAATTTAGAATTCTAGAATAATTTTCTTGATTCTTGTAGTTGATAATATCTTTCTTTTTAAATAGGCCTTTGTTCTTCAAGAAGAGTCAAAACCTTATGGCCTTGACATTGTTCATACATATATTTACATATGATAGGATACATTTGTCATGAAAAAGTACTTATTTTAAAAAGAAAGGAACTAGTGAGAATATAAAAGTCATTATGTGCCAAAGTTTAAAGATTTGTTAAGGAAATATTTAAAAACTACTGGAAAATTTTTTAAAAAATGACTTGCCAAAAATAATGGTAATTAAATGGGTAAAAAGCAATTTTAAACATATTGTGAACATAAAATTCTGTAATATTTATTCTTTGAGATGTTTTGATTATTGATAAAGTAATTGTATTATAAGTTAATACACATTCTTTGAGATTTATAACTTTTATAATATATATATATACTGAATATCTGTCAAAACTATTTCAAATGATTGAAAACTGGTTCAACCATACTTCAAAAACAAATGGACAAAAGACACCTGTTGATCTGAAAGCAGTTAATTATATTTCAATAGTGTTTTTAAATGCATTGTTATGATACTTTGAATGGTGTTTTTATATGCATTGTAATGATACTAACAGTGTTTTAAATGCATTGTTATGATACTTTCAATGGTGTTTTTATATGCATTGTAATGATACTTTCTATGATGTTTTTAAATGCATTGTTATGATACTTTCAATGGTGTTTTATATGCATTGTGATGATACTTTCAATGGTGTATTTAAATGCATTGTAATGATACTTACTGTTTGTTCCTTTCAGCCAACAAAAGAATCAGCTCCAATCATAATTCTACCAGAAGGTGAAATGCAAAGTGACCAGCCAAGAGTAAGTACATATTGTTTGTCTTGTTGGGTTGCTTTCTTGTCATTGATCAACATGAACATGCGCTGAGGTTGAACTTAGCGTACCCCAAAATGTTGTATGCACATGCGCTGAGGTTGAACTTAGCGTACACCAAAATGTTGTGATTGGTTAACACGTAAATAATAAAAATTCAATCAGTGACAAGACGTAACAAAGGAATTACCCATAGTCCTCTTTAATCATTCTACCATTTATTACAGTTTTGTCATGTTGAAAAATAACAAAAAAACATGAAGAAGGAATACATGTATCTTATATTGTACTAAATATAAGCAATAGTGGGGGAAGGGTAAAAAAATAATAATGGAAAATTGACCCTATAATTTTTTTTCAAAAGTCACTAAAAGTAAATATATATTATTTGTTTCAGTTATATATTTTCGCCCTGAACCAACCTTTATCTGGAAGGATGGGTGGAATCCGGGGAGCAGATGCTAAATGTCACAGACAGGCCAAGCAAGCAGGCAAGAAAGGAACATATCGTGCCTTCTTATCAACAAAAACACAAGACTTGACATCTATTGTATACTATGATATTGACAAGTCTGTACCGATCGTAAATATGAAGGTAAGTAATTACTAAGACATGGAAGTACGGTGAACAAAAACACAAGACTTGACATCTATTGTATACTATGATATTGACAAGTCTGTACCGATCGTGAATTTGAAGGTAAGTAATTACTAAGACATGGAAGTACGGTGAACAAAAACACAAGACTTGACATCTATTGTATACTATGATATTGACAAGTCTGTACCGATCGTGAATATGAAGGTAAGTAATTACTAAGACGTGGAAGTGAGGTGAACAAAAACACAAGACTTGACATCTATTGTATACTATGATATTGACAAGTCTGTACCGATCGTAAATATGAAGGTAAGTAAATGATAAGACAGGGAAGAGGCATGAACACAATACACAATATTTTCATTTGCGTCCATTTTAGAATGGTTCTAATTTTAGAGGGTTACATAAGGTAAGTAAATAATGAGACACGGAAGTAAAATAAACAAAACAGTTTCTGTCTATTCTGGAAATGTTTACGATTTTTCGTGATTACAGAAACCTGTATCTAAACTTAATAGTTTGGTGCTTTATTTGTAATATTTGCAAATTGTCTTATGGTTTGAGATATATATTTTGCAATAAAAGGTCAAATTGAAAAACAACTACACTGTACCAGAGTCATAGGGAAAGTTGAACCACCGGTATGAGGGGAAAAAAATTGAAAGAACATTTTGACCGGAATAGATTTGGTATACAATGTACCAAATTTTTATATTTAAGTTCTCTGTAACTCTAGGATAAAAATAACTACTGCAATGTGATAGTCTGAACTGTTATCTGACTATTCTATTAATTTCTGTATTTACTACACTTTCAGGATCAAATATTATTTAATTCCTGGAAACAACTTTTGAATGGACATGGTGGCTATTTCAACACACAGAGACATATCTACTCCTTTAATGGTGAAGATATCATGACTAGTCCTAAATGGTAAGACACTCTGAAAGTAATATGATCCCTGAACCCTGACATTAGTAGTTGTTTTTAGTATGGCGGGTGATGCAAGCATAGCAGGAGTTCATGCAATTCCCTCACTTATGACCATACAATATATCTCGCTCTAAATTGTCTTGATTCCATGAAAGATCTGTATGAATGCAACAGAAAAAATCGAAGATTCACTATCAACACTACAAATTCCTCACTTTTTGTTTTTTTATCTTGATTTGTAAACTGTTTCTTTTTAATGGATAGTTTTAAGATTTGAACATCTGTAAACTTCTTTTGCTTTCTAATTTAGTACAAGAAGTACAAGTTCACAATTTCAAATTATAAAAATAAATGACAGATTATATCAACAACTTATTCCTCAATTAACACAAAACATGTGGGAACATCATTACCTCCCCTACTTCTGTATCATATGCCAAATATGGATAACAAACCAAATAGGTTTGCCTCTGGTTCATACTGTGAATGGAATTATATTGGTTGATTCCTATGTTTTTGTATTTCATAGAAAGAAAAAAAAAGTAAAAATTTGTTTACAAATCAAATAGGTACAAAAAAATTCTAAGCAAGCAGATGCTTTAAATTCAAAATTGTGTCATGGAATCTTTTTGCAAATTTAAAGATCCCTTATAACAAAATTGAGAATATGTTTGTGTAATGTAGTCCTTTTAAGAACTCCCATGGACTCAACAGGTTTCGTAAATAAATATGTCATTCAAGCATTTCATGTGAAAGAGAGATAAAATTTTACTGTTATTGATTAACAAGGATAACACAAATTACCAAAAGAATTATAACTGTACCACAGAGCACGCCAACTCCCCATATCTGACTCCTCCTGGAGAATACTAACACAGACACACAAAAACATACAACACATGGTCCAGATAGCCTGCCTTGGTATAGACACAGAATGTGGTTTTGGGTCCTCAATGCTCTTCAACTACGTACTTTATTTGGTGGCTTTTTGAACTTTTTTTATTCTAGCGTCACTGTTGAGTCTTTCGTAGACAAAACGCACATCTGGCGTACAAAATTTTAATCATGGTATCTATGATGAGTTTATTAATCAGTTTTATGTGCACCTAAACCTCCCCCTTTACCTATCTACACCATATGTGGTATAAGTACACACAATACTTTAGTCCAAGATAAATAAAATTGAGAATGGAAACGGTGAATGTGTCAAAGAGACAACAACCTGACCAAAGAGCAGAAAACAGCCCAAGGCCACCAATGGGTCTTCAACACAGCTAGTTAATCCCTTACTCGGAGGCGGGCCTCAGCTGGCCCCTAAACAAAAATGTATACAAGTTCAGCGAAATTGAAGTCTATTTCATTCCACTTGCTTCATTAGTCCAAGATAGTCCATTTTGCCATGTCTGATTTCATTTTACACGCAGAAGTCGTGGGATAAAGTAAAAAATCTTTCAGTGTTGGGATCAATACAACCATCGTGTATAATCGGTACAGCGGATATTGCTTAATAGGTACTTCGAAGGGTGAAAAGCTATATACCGTGCATTCATTTAACTATGCACCGTACAGAAGGATTTATGTGGTCGGCAATACACCGTACACAATGCTTCTTTTCGGAATAAAATATCGAAAAATAACATATGTATGAAAGATTTCAATGCCAATTATTGAAACTGCTATACTTATTACGCACACACAGTGGCCTTCTATCAGAAAAAGAGTTGCAATGAATATAGAATCATATCGGATGAGACTTCTTTGACAAGTATTTGCACATGTTTTTAGTAAGCATTCTTGTTTTGGGAAAATAATGAGACTTCTGTAATCATCAACCTACGACCAAATCATTTCTTAAAACAACAATAATGTTAAGATAGAAGTACACATTGATATTATGTAAACAAAACAAAGATTTTCTTACTGTGTCAGAAGAAAAATCGATTATGACCATTTGGTTAGTACCTATATCCGCTGTACCGATGATACATGGTGACAACATCTTCTGCCTGAAAACATATAACTCATTGGTGTAATAGTCACCTTACAGTAGATTTTCATAGGGTAAAGGGGTCAAAATAGAAAAGTAGTAGAATTTTTGAAATTGAAATATATTTAAATCATTCCACTAGCTTAATTCACTTGTTTGAAAAGCTACATGGATGCATAGAAAACTGTCATGTGATGGAGACCTAAAAAAAAATCAACATTGAAATGACAGCTATCTTGGAACTCTCCTATATAAGTGAGGCGAAAATACCAACCAGACATTAAAAAACTCATTAGTCAAAAACAAACTTGACAATGCCATGGCAAAAACTGAAAAAAATTATCAAAAGACAAACAACAGTATACAAAACACAACATAGAAAACCTGCCAATCCAGCTTCAAACACATGTTTGACAAATGACCCTTATTTTACAGGCCACAGAAAATTGTATGGCATGGATCCACTTCTAATGGAGACAAAGTAGATGATATGACCTGTAACCACTGGCATACAAGTAGTCCAAGGTCAATGGGATACGCCAGTTCATTATTGGACGGCAAACTGGTCGATATGAAGGAATACAGCTGTTCAAATAGATTTATTGTTTTATGTGTAGAAAATACTAGCCGACCAATGAAGTAAATGTTGCCATAGAGACAAGAATAGTTTGAAAGTTGTGACCTTTGGAGAGGTTAATAAGTAGGACATCTGTGATATTGGTGCCAGTTAAGAGTTTTTGTTTTGTATTTTTTAATTAAATCCAATGTAAAAAAAGGATGATCCCTCTGCATAATTATAAGGGACCATTTTAGACAGATTGTTTTTAATACCTGAACTTTTGAATAGGCAACTATTCCTCTTCAGCAACTTTTTGTTTATAGAAAAATTGATTTAATAAATTTTTGGAATTGTTTCAATTTTTCTGATGAGTAAAGCTGATATTAATTGTTGGTAAAAATCAAAGATTTTTTTTAAATATAATAATTACGCTAGGACAGTGTAAAAGGATTAGATATATCCACTATATGGAATTGTTAAAGATTATGTAATGTTGGGATATTTTTAGAATAAAAAGTTATTTATTATAAAATTTGATTAACTTTTTGTAAAAATGAACTTGGTTTATTTTTGTATTTTTTTGGTAAAATTTAATGAAATTTAACTGAATGAATCATGTTTTATTTCTTACCACCAATTTTAAAGATATATTAACAGTGTTGCTTTAATTAATATATAGTGCTAATTCAATGTATAAAGTTCAACCTTCACATAAAATGTGAATTTTCATCTTGTGTATGGGTTTGTTAGGGCTCATTTAAAAAAAAATGGTTGAAAAGAAGGTACAAGCACATCTAGATTTTTCGTTTGAAGCCATTTAAAAATTATAAAGGACATTGTGGGATTAAGAAGTGACATAATGCTAGTTAATCCAGCAGAAGGTAATTGGCAACTGAACATCTGTTTGATTTTAATTTGAATATTTAAGAATAAAAAAAAATTGACTTGCATATTTTCATGGGCACAAGCAAAGTTTTTTTTTTTCAATTTTTGGATGAAAGGAGCCCTTGAACAAACTCATAGCCAATCATTATTTAGCTTTTTGAATAACTACATAACAGTATTCTTTTGTCTATAATAGTCATAAATGATTTGAAAAATCAATTGTAGATTTTTGTTTTAAACAGGTCTGGCCCATCAAAATGAAACATTGAAAATGTATTCTCTAATCCTTTAATGTGCAGACTTATTTTTCTGTGTATAAACTTCCTTTAAGTATGAGCACATCCATATGGAATTTGAACCTGTACTAAAAGAAAACAGAAGTCATTTCTCTGCAGTTTAGCTATATTTTCAAAGTCAAAAGATTTGTTCCACTGTTATATTAAAAATAAACTTTTTTTTCAGTTTTATTTTAAATATTACCAGGCCTGTTTAATGATGTGTATGTGTCTGCAAGAAGTCATGTGCTTGGTGTTTATTCATGTATGCAAATGTGCCTTAATGTTTATTCATATATGCAAATTACTTGAGTAAAACAAAAATTGATATTTTTATTACAATTATTATGTAGATTTATATATTAGTATACACAAGTATGAAATGTACAGTATTTTCATGAAGATACTTCTACAAGTATGCAATGATTAATTTTTTTGTCATTGTCTGAATAGTCTTTAAACTAGAGATTGGGTTTGGGTTTAGAGGCTTTCCACTTAAGATGGAAGCATCTGTTAATAAAAATTATTTGAAAATTTTGAAACTTATCTGTTATGTTTTTTTGAAAGACACATGTACTTTTTTAAGTTTTCAAATACAATTGTATTACAAAATTACTGGAAAAGTTTTTTCTCGCTTTAGGGTACAGAACATTCAAAGTGAAACTGATTGGTCATTTGTGAAAATTTCGTGCTTTTTTCAAACCATTGGAAAAAGGGGGTGTAAATAGTTAAAAGGAGACCCTCCCATTCAAACACTCGTGTAAGTTTCGCTTTGAATATACTGTAATTTGTAGTGAAATAAAGTTTATGCATGAATGAGATTATGCTTGCTGTTTGTTTTTTTTGTTTGTAAATATTTGAGTTAAGAATTTCCTGGTCCATAGTATTAGGAACATAAAAAAATTCCTTAATGTTTTGAATATGACTCTCAAGCTTTTCATTTTAGCCAAAATTTTTGTAAGATTTTTAAGATGAAAATGTTTTGAAAAATCAAATGAAAAAAATCGTTGAATATTTTTGAATTACATCTATAAGGGTGTTAGAACAGATAATATTTTTTTATGATTCACAACACGTATTTGATAAATTTTGGGTTATGATAAAATTTTCATTCAATTTTGATACTAGCTATAAAAAAAATGGTCTGACAAAACGATAAAAATTCTGATCCATGTCTCGCTAACAGTAGTGAAATTATGTTTTTAACTGACTTTAGGAGCAGTTGCACTATCTAAAAGAAACTGCTAACAAATTTGATGATGAAAATATTTAGAATGATTAACAGACAGATTATTGTTCAGTTTTTTTAAAACACACTTAATTTCTTATCCATGCATTTGGTTTGGATTTCACATGGTCTGTTTTAAGTATTTTAATTCTTTGTTGTTTTCTTGTCTTTATGTAAATTTGTCTGTTTGAATTAATTTAAAGTTTTCTATTTATTGGGGGATTGTGTTGTGAGTGAGTTATGAAATTTGATTTAAAAAAGGGGAAAGAATATTTATTTTGATGACATTAGTTTTATTAGAGCCAGATTTTGCTACTTTTTGATGCACCTTTACTCTTGGTCTTTTTTCCTTTTATTTAAAAAGCACATGTTACACACAGTTATATTTGACCTTGGATTTTAAATTCACACAAGTAATTAACAATGTGATGTGCATGGATATTATTTTATATGCTCTTTTAAGTAGGGATTAAATGTGTTAACATAAGTTCATTTAATGACTTTAAGGGTAAAAATATGAAAAAAATGCAAATCTTCAGTATTTTATAAGACCAAATTATGAGAAAATACGATGCAGTATATATGTATTGATATATATTTAGTAGGATATTTTTTTTCAATATTTTTTATCATCAATTACATTCAAAATCTTCATTTTATCCAGCTGTATAATAATGCTATTTTATTCATAAAATGTAATCATCATTTTATTAATTTTTAATATGAATATTCATTTTCTTGTTGTATTGCATATTAGGATGTGCTACTCTTGTTTCATTTTGAATCTCATAAGAATTTACGGTGAAAATCATTTTTTTATAGTTGACATTTTTCTGGCAGTTGGTATAACTGTTTACATAATTGATAATTCTTTGTTGTGTGTTTGGCTTTTATGATATCACAAAAAAGTACAAAACGTTGGTTCAAGTAAATGAAAGAGTTTAAAAAGATTTAAACTGTACAGCTGAACTATTAATGGAATCAACGTTCATGGGAGAAACTCACAAATCCCATTGTTTACCTTATATGGGACAAAACCACTGCCTGTAAAATTGATGAAACCTAGAAATTACTCAATGAAATTTACCTTTAAAATTCAACTCATTAGTCAAATGTCTTATATTATTGACTTTTTTTATGATTCATATTTGAATTGCCCAAAAAATTGGCAACTTTTTTATGATTGGCAAAAACTGGTACTTTGAGATAATTGACAATTTCATCATGTTTTTTGGGTGTAAACTCTAATGATTGTATTCAGTTGTATGGTGTGAAAATTTCAAATGGATCATATTTGCCAAAGTTACATTCAAACTTTTGAATTCAACCAAACTTTGCCTCTCTTATTGCTGTTCATAGTTTTCAATTTATACTAATACATAAATGGTTTTCACTGTTTTGATAATTAATTTTCTACAAATTATTGAAATCCATTTTTTTTTGTCTGATCTGCTCTTGCTTCTTTTTCTTAAAATCTTTTAGAATAGATCTGAAAATTTTAGAATTTGCTTATATACATATTTTTAAAACCTTCTTATATTATTGAATTTGTTTTCTAGTTTCCAGTACAATTATTTTTAAGAAAATTCTGTACGAAACTTTTTTACTTTTAACTTTAACTACATATTATATTGTAGACTAATCTTTACACCAAATCTTTTAAGTCTTTATGCCAAATCTTTTATCCTTTACACCAATAATTTTTAAAAAGAATTTAATGTTTTAAATCTTTACACCAAAACCTATTAAGAAGAATTTGATATTTTGTAGTATTTTTGTATTTTTATAGAATGTGGCATAAATCAAAGCATGTCTTTATATATCTGTTTTCAATTTGAAAAACGAAGCAGGTTTTGAATGGGAAAAGTTTTAGTGTGATATTAGATGAAGTCTGGTATTCCAAAGTGTTTAAGGGACTTTCTCAAAAGTCTATAATTTCAAGATCTGCATGTATGATACTCCATGTTAAAAAATACCATTGAAACTTTACCTAATTACAAATTTACATGAATAGTATTGTATAATTTTCCACATGTTTTCTCAGAAAGAGATCAACTTAATTTCTATTCCACATAATCGATTATCATTGGCCAACAGAACATTAAACTAGACAGACAAATTATACATTTACTGTATACAATAGAAGCTAAAAATGTAATGTACATAAATTGAAGCTGTTAAAGGTATTTTGAAGAATTGGTATACCATGGTGTGACAGTAGTTGGATTTTTTGTACTTTGCATTTAAAATTAACTGTACAAGTGTACTAGGAGTTTGAATATACTATCAAAAGTTCATTATTCATAAAAAAATTGTCTTGTAAAATTTTAGGTGTGACATTAGTTACGAAAGAAAGCTAGAAAAAAATTTATTTGTCAAATTTTTAATGGACGTTATATATATCTCAATTTGAAATGGGCCATGAAGGACAATAAAAACTTGTCTTATTTCTCAAAAAATGAAGTAAAATAGAATTTAGTGGATATTTAATAAGATAATGAACTTTCAATGGTATTTTTAAGCACCTAGTAACAGTTGAAAAAGTTGTATGTCACATGTTATTTGACTGTTTTTAATCATGTGTACAGTTTGCATTGATTATGTGAGATCTAGCAGTTTCCTTGTATGATTAGTACTTGCAAAAGATTTTAAAAATTTCCAGAATTCTACACATTCCTGGTTATAAAAATTAGTTGGTACTTGAGATATTTCTAACAGTAAAATGACTGAATAATACCAAGATAGATCAAGAAAAGAATATTATTTAACATCTGAAATATTACCCAGAATGCATTAGATTCTGTAATGGTGAATTTAAAAATTTATAACCATAGCAGTGTTATACTGTATAAATACTTTTATTCTACATATTCTTTTTTTAAATACTTTGGTATAATTTAATCATGTTCACATTAAATGTAATTGTACTGTAATAATTCAGAATTACTGAACATGTTCTGTAATCTATATAACTTTGATTACATTAATTCGTGCAGTATGATTTTTTCCTGCTATTCTGTAACCATTGTAACTGAGCTAAATAAAAAAATTATTAGTAAAAGCTGTATGATTACTTTAATCTTCCAGAATGATTACTTCCCTTGAACTGTTATCATATTGGTTGAGTATAGTAATCATGTAGTATGATTACATTTATCATGCTGTAATCATTACGTAATCTGCTGAATGAAAATGTAATAATCATCGCTGTATATGTGGATGTTGATAACATTCTAAGAGCTTCTTATTGTTTGCAATAAACCAAAGTGTTAAACAAGCTTTAGTTTATTCTTTAAGTATGTTGCCCAACTGGTCTCTATTTTATTTGTTCATACTGGTCTGATAAAAAGGATTGCATTTAGTTATGTTGCCGATTGGCTGCTGGAAGCTCTACAATAACTGTTATTAGTCTTACTTTCTTAATTTACTGTTTATAAAACGTTGAATTATTTGAATTGCAAAGGTTTTTTCTACCCAAGGTATAGAGATATACTTTTATAGCCATATTTGGCACAACATTTTGGAATTTAGGTTTTTAATGCTTTTTAACTTTGGAGACCCAACTCAACTGTTTTGATTGGAGAGTCACTGATGAGTCTTATGGAAGCGAAACCAGAGTCTGACTTACAAAATTATAAGCCTGGTTTATTGATTTTGAGGGTTATGGCCAAAATAGTTTAGGAATTAGGGGCCAGACAATAATTTGAGTATTAATTCTATGAATCTCTATGAAATTGTACCACACGATTCCATACCAAAAAAGGTTGATTTTGGAGGTTATGGCCATAACCGTTTAGAAATAAGTGGCCAAAAACAATATTTTTCTAATACTTAAATTTGTATAAATTGCTTATTTCTTGACAAATTTCATTGGGGTTTACTTCAAAGTCTTTAATTCCTGGGGTTTTTCAACATACTGAATTGTATGCTAAAAGCTAGTTAGATATTATCAGGGCAGATCAATATTTTGTTGCTAAAGGTTAAGTTTTCTGTATCACGAGAGACTGCACACCTTTTTATGAGTTGTTTGTTTAGCTTGAATTTTATACTCCTACTCAGAATGAGGAAGTTATGTTGGTTTAAGTTTGTCAGTCCTTCCATCCCATGATTTTTTAGCACATTTTTCTCAGACCTAAACAGAGCTTCCTGGGATTTAGTTTCAAGCTTCATGTTGTAATGCGTTTTTCATTTACATCTCGTCACCTTCCTGTTTACCAAATAATTATAAACTCTTACACATAATGGAACTTTCATCACATTTTTTCTACAAATCATAGCTTACTGAACTTTGGTATCAAGTTTCATGTGAGCATGCTTTACTGCTTGATGCATTTTCACAACCATCACTTATTAACTTGTTGTTTCCTGAATACTCATAGTGGTGGTAACATCAGTGAGCTAGATCAATGTTATTTTGGCTAAGAGGGATTTATACTGCTTTGGCTTTGCTCTTTATATTAATCTTGCAATTTTCTTCTTTTTATATTTTCGGCTCTTGTTTACTTTCAAGTTTCAAATTTGCAACTTTTGATTTTTATTCTCTCAAATGTATTATATTTTTGACTTCGTAAAGTTGACAATTATTCCAGAAAAGTGATACATATTTTGCACACAGAAATCAGTAATTATTTGGTGTACTTCAACTATTTAAGGAAGATATAGAGGAAAGAAGAATTATTTATGAAATTTTCTTCCTATTTTCTCAGCCAATTCAAGTAATGTGGCATGTAGCTACATCTTGTCATTCCGTACGGCGTGACACGTTTCTAAGTTCCTTTGATGTCCTTAATTTCCTCTTTGCCAAACTCATATTTTTGACTAGGGACGTAAACTGATTAGTTAGCAATATCTTATAAAACATCTGGTTTAAAATACACTGATGCCAGTTTAAATATTTTTGGTCAAGGTATAAACAGACAAACATAGAAGTGAAAATATGGAATCACGTGCTCCCAAAAGTCTCATTTACATCTACAGGTTACAAAGCATTGTCTTCTTAGTACATAATGCTTCTGAAATACTTTTGCGCAGAGTGGGTAGTTAGAAGGTAAAGTTTTGAACTGATCAGAATAAGATAACAGTAATAGCCTGATAGAAAGACTGGAAGACAAAGATTTCAAAGTTGCATTTTGGATTAGACCATTCTGACTACCGTAGGGGCTCCTGGGCATGCACTAAACCGGCACAGCTATTTTTTTTCGTTAGAACTTACTTACAATTTAGATCCTAACAAGTTAAGAAGTAAGTGACGATAGCCCCGGCTTGAAAGAAACTAAGTCTGGGTCTCAGATACTGGTGCTGGTAACTGGTTACAAGTGTTATAATTCTGGGGAAGGAACTGTTTTTCAATACATCTGTTCTTATGTGGAACTGTTGGATCTCAGTCTTCGAGTTATTAGATCTTGTCCTTGACGGGAGTGAGATAAGTGAAAGATTGAATATCCACTATATAAGTTATGATTTTATAGCATGGTTAGTTGAATTGCTGTCCCTTCTTTCCTCGAGTATCTTCCAATGTAGGTTTCTAGTATATATGCAACGCTACTGGTGTTATTGTGTTTACTTGTTGCATATCTAGCTGAATGATGTTGGACCATCCAGTTTGTTCGTAGGTTGTTTATTATGTGAAATGCATATAGCTGCACAGTCATAGTACATAGTGGTGGAGGAATATCGGTGGTGGAACTACTTTTCTCCTATACGGTGGTATGACTTGATTGGCAGAATTACGTATACAGATTAAAGATTACATAGTCAGTATTCCAAATTTGGTCGGACTCATGTGAAGTATGCTGCAGTTTTGGCCTCCTGGTTGTTTATTTTGAGTTTTCGTTTTTGAAAACCTATCATACTATTTGCTTTCTTAACAGTATGGTCTATGTGGTGGTTCCATAAAAAGTAAAATAACAAAAATACCGAACTCCAAGGGAAATTCAAAACGGAAGCTCCTTAATAAAATGGAAAAATCAAAAGCTCAAACACATCTAACGAATGGAAAACAACTGTCATAGTCCTGACTTAGTACAGGCATTTCCTTATGTAGAAAATGGTGGATTAAATCTGGTTTTATAGCTCTTCAACTTCCTGTTTACCGAATAATTATAAACTCTTACACAAAATTGAAGTTTCGTCGCATTAGAGGTTATGACTTAAATCAACTACTATTTTGTTGTTTCTGCATTTTTCAGTTGGTGACCTTTCATGTGGTATTTGTAAAGAATTGGTTTCTTAGATCTTCCTACTCGCAATACATTACATTTATCTGGGTGGAATGACATACACCATTTATCTTTCCAAGTTGTGAGGTCAATCAGGTTTATTTGTATGAGTTTTTCACAGTCATTTTGGCTTTTTATCGGTCTGTAGACAAAAGCATCGTCAGCAAAAAGTCGAGTATTGGATGTAACATACTCAGGCAAGTCCTTTGTGAATACCAGGAATACAAGTGGGTCAAGGACGGTTCTTCAGTGGCGGATCCAAAGGGGGTGGGGGTGGGGGGGGGGGGGGGGGGTCCGGGGGTTGGAACCCCCTTTTTTTGACGATCAATGCATTTGAATGGGGCCATATAGTTGGAACCCCCCCCCCCCCCCCCCACCTTTTATCCTGGGTTAGGAACCCCCCTTTGATAAATGGCTGGATCCGCCCCTGGGTTCTTTGTGTTGCACGGCTGACTACTGTCATAGGTTACCCCATCCACAATGACTTGCTGAGATCTGCCTGTGAAAAAGGCTCTGATCTACTGTAGTGCCCTCTTATTCCGTAGAAAATGAAAATGAATCGTAGGTGCGGAATTTTATCAAATGCCCTCGAGAAGTCTTTAATGATTCGGTCTGGTTGAATTTCACTATTCATTCTCTTGTAATTTGCATCATAAATATGTCAATGAAACTGAGCGGTAGCGGTAGTTACTGACCTTGAATCATTACCCTTTTATAAATATAGCCGCCACATTTGCATACTTTACTTCCATTCTTTTGGGATCACCATTCAGTACTATTGTAGTCAGGAAAAATTGATGTTTCTTCTGCTAGGTCTTTCAGTATGATTATTCTTCATGTTATCATTTCTGGACTACACGCCTTGTTCGGATTTATTTTCTTCAGTAGTTTAGTGAACCTTTCGTCAGTGATTTCGGACATAGATGGAAAGACATTCCTTGTTGTCTTTGGAATTTCAGTTGTATCATCATTTGTAAATACTGAATCATACTGACTATTGAGGATGGCAGCCTTGACCTTTTGAGTTTTCATGCATTTTTCAATTCTCTTTTAGTGAAGCGACATCGCTGTTGTCCTTCTGCAGTGCCTTGATGTATGACCCAAAATGATTTTGCTAAACAGGGTTTTCAAAGTCTATGAGGATTATGAGGTTGTTGGCATACTCCCAGTATGCCTTACAATTTATATTTTGTACAGCTGCTTTTGTATCTGTAGACATCTTAATAAATACTAGGATATCTATATCAAGTTTTCTTTAATGATTTTTTTTTTTTCAGTTTTAAAAAGATTTTTCTTTTGCTTATTGCTGCTTTTTTTCTATTTACCAATTTCTTGTTATCTTTGTTTCCTTTCATTGTCTTCTGTGACATGTACTTTTTTCGTAAGACAGTTTATCTTCAAATGCTAACCGTAGTTCTTCTGGTTAAGTTGTATGTATTGTTGTATTTAACTGTTGTTTACGTTCCTGTAGTTCTTTTTTGGGACTGTCATTGTTAGCATTTCGATTATTGCCCGACTTGGAATTTTTGTTTCTTTTTGTATATGTACTAAGCTTTATTTAAAATATCACCGATTTATGATCTGAGATACCCAGAATAACACATACCTGATTGGCTTATATACTGTTATTAGTGAAATTAGTGCATTGCTTCCTCTTCTGAAATTCTTATTGGTTCAATAATCAGATGATCTCATGCTATGTTCTGGGTGATTTCCAATAGCTGATTACATTCTGATCTGTGTACTTTTTATTTGATTTGATGGTCTCATTTGTTCAGGCTATATAAGCTTCTTATGCTACACAGACATTTCCTCTTTACAAAAAAAAAGAGTTGAAAACCCCGACAAATGACAAAAACGAACAAAAAATTCAGAAGTTATTTCAAGATCTTGAAAGATCAAACACAAAATGACTAGTATTACTATGCCCCCAAAATGGACGTTATTGTCCCATATTTCAACGACAAAGAAAGAAAAGGTATTTGATGTAATAATTCATGACAAAAATCTCTACAGACTCTAAACTAAAGAAAAGTAACAGCATTTTCATTGCTGTTCTTCAAATCGGGCAGTGAAGATTTTAACTTGGAACAAACACACCTGCAAGTTCAAAACATTCTTCAACACCGGTTGAGAGAAATTATTTGCTATGTGTCGATGACCCTAACTAATGTAAAATGGAGTCATTTGCTGCAGGAATTTCTTGTTTTCTGTTGGATGCAAGATCAATTGATAGTGAAAGTATCACATCTTTAAAGTATAAGATAACAATAGCAAGGTAGCTTAGCAAAGTTTATATGTGGCAGATAATTTATTTGGTCCAACACAATTGAACGTTAACGACAAATATGTGCTTCAAAATGGAGTTGTTATTAGATACATGGCTGCTGGTAATAGTGTTGTCAATATTACTATTGTTCATGTAAGTTCTTTTCATACTGTTTTATTACAAAGAGAAAAAAATTACAGGCGCTTGAACATTTTTGTCGAGCCTGCGACTTTTGTCGCAAAAGCGAGACATAACGATCCTTCATTCCGTCGGCGTCGTCGTCGTCGTCGGCGGCGTCCACAAATATTCTCTCTGTGGTTAAAGTTTTTGAAATTTTAATAACTTTCTTAAACTATCCTGCATTTCAACCAAACGTGGACAGAAGCTTGATTATAATCATAAGATAGTATCCAGAAGTAAATTTTGTAAAAAACAAATCCTGTTTATCCGTATTTTACTCATATATGGACTTAGTTTTTCTGCCAGTTAACATAACATTCACTCTGTGGTTAAAGTTTTTTCAAATTTTGATAACTTTCTTAAACTGTCCTGGATTTGTACTACACTTGGACAGAAGCTTGTTTGTGATCATAAGATAGTATTAAAAAGTAAATTTTGTTTTAAAAAAATCCTGTTTATCCGTATTTTACTTATAAATGGACTTAGTTTTTCTGCCAGTTAACATTACATTCACTCCGTGGTTAAAGCTTTCAAAATTTTAATAACTTTCTTAAACTATCCTGGATTTGTACCACACTTGGACAGAAGCTTGTTTATGATCAAAAGCTAGTATCTAGAAGGAAATTTTGTAAAAATTTATTTCTTGTTTTTCCATATATTACTTATAAATGGACTTAGTTTTATTCCAGTTAACATTACGTTCAGTCTGCAGTTAAAGTTTTTAAAACATTTATTAGATTCATAAACCTTCTTGGATTTTTACCAAACTTGAACAGAACTTCTTACAATCAAAAGATAGTATCTAGAGGAAAATTTTTAATAATTGTTTCCCCATTTTTGTTGAGCCTGCGACTAACAGCAAAAGTAGGCGACACACTGGGTTCCGCGGAACCCTTACGAATTGTTACACTAAATTTTCTGGAATACAGTTATTATGTATCCGAACCGTATGAATAAGAAGAAGAACTATGTGCAACATAATTTGCTTGGTTTCTATATTAAAATAATGAGATGTGATATGATTGCCAATCAGACAACTATCTAACAAAAACCGACATGAAAAATCTTATATAATACAAATGCGAAAACTAACGGCAAAATTTATAACAATACAATTTACGAAAAATGACCGGCATGAACCAACCAAAAATCACTGAATTACAGACTCCTAACTTGGGACATAAACATAAAGAATGTGGCGGGGTTAAACATGTTTGGGTTTGTCCCCCAACCTAAGGCTGTGGTGTAGCATCACAACTTAAGAACAAACTGAAAAAAAATCAGCTGAAAATGGCTTAACTCAATACATCGGTATGAAAAGGAATAACTAACAAAAGATCAATAGACACATAACACAGAAGAGTACTCGCAATTACTTAGAGTTAGCTCAAAGCCAATTTCATCTTCGCACAAAATATTCAAAGAATGGGGCAGGGTTTATACCTGCAAATGCATATAATACATGTATTATTGTCATGCGGTTTCAATCCAATGAACAGTTAAAAAAAACACGAGATTATGATTTAAAAATTGTTATCTCGTGTCTTTCAATGAAATGACAAAAGTTAGTATGATTCAATACTTATTATATTTTTTGCAAATTTGGAAAGCAAATATACACAAGGTATGTAGATAAGAAAAGGGAAAATCCATGAATGTCATCTTGATTTTTTGTAACCCATGACAGGTTCCGTTGATTATTGAAAGAGTTACAATAGATCCGGTCACAAAAGAGGGCGAACTGAAAAAAACTGTAACTCGAATAAAAACACCATGAGTGATCAAACAACAGTTCATAAAAAGTTAAATCACAAAAATACTGAAAATTCAAAACGGAAAGTCTCTAATCAAATGGCAAAATCAAAAGCACAAACACATCAAACGAATGGACAACAACTGTCATATTCCTGACCTGGTACAGGCATTTTCTTATGTAGAAAATGGTGGATTGAACCTGGTTTTATAGCGCTAAACCTCTCACTTGTATGACAGTCGCATCAAATACCATTATATTGACAACGATGCGTGAATAAAACAAACAGACATAAAAGATCAAAATGTCAAAATAGGGGGTACAGCAGTCAACACCGTGTCACAATCTTAATCACAACAAAAACAAACAAATATTTAACAAAGAAGCACAAAAAAGCATATATCACATTTAACAACCTCGTTCATTGCTTATTTATTTTTGTATTTTTTTATGTATGCCAAATCAACCCATAAAACACAGAAAACTAAAGATCTTGGTACACGAATCCAATTTATATCTTATTATACACATCTATTTTGAAAGACATGCTTCTTTTTGTTGATTAAACGGAAAGAGTAGATGATAGTTTTAGCCTGCTGACCGACTTAAGGATGTTCGGTACTTTGTTTCAAAATAACAAGCTTTTTAAAAGACTGTTATAAATTGGTAGTATTTGAATAAAGGAACTAAAAAAGCAGATTATTCTCTTTAGATTTTTCATACATTTAACCGATTGGCAACTTTTTTCGTTAAAAAATTATGAAAAAATAACAAGGATTTTATAAGATTTTCAAATATGGCTTTCAAACTATATGCAATAAAATTATGAAAAGAAAAGTAGGGGTTAGCGGGCAAATATTTTAATGGCACTACATAGATAAAACCAGAGAATTGTGAATATCTGGCAAAAATTCAAAAAAACAAGAGGAGCAAACATCCTTTAGTTAACATTTCTAGTAGAAAACTGGTGACAATTAATCATCTCCCTTCAAAAGATAACTCTTTAATGTTTAGTTCCGCTATTGATAGTAAGTCAACACGACAATGGTCTGGTAAATAGTAACAATGAAAGCTAATAAGCTAAAACTACAGTTAAAATCTTATTATAATGAGACGTGAGACTTTTGGGCACCTAAGTCATTAGATTTACCTTTGAAAAATACTTTTTTGTATTATTGTTCTTATTGTGTCTTTATACATTTTAGTTATTCCTCGTTTAAAACTAGTGTTCTTAGAGAGTTTCCTGGTCCACGTTCAATACCATTTCTTGGTATATTACCACAAATGATAAAGAAGGTAAATTTACGTTCAAGACACTTACCAACAATGCTTTAGATCATTAGTTTAGATATTACCACAAATGATAAAGAAGGTAAATTTACGTTCAAGACACTTACCAACAATGCTTTTAGATCATTAGTTTAGATATTACCACAAATGATAAAGAAGGTAAATTTACGTCCAAGACACTTACCAACAATGCTTTTAGATCATTAGTTTAGATATTACCACAAATGATAAAGAAGGTAAATTTACGTCCAAGACACTTACCAACAATGCTTTTAGATCATTAGTTTAGTGTTTACATACAATAATTACACAAATGTGAGCTTCTATATTCAACATGATATCATTATCCAGATTACATTGACTGAATGATTGATTGATTGGTGTTTAATGCCACCATAGGCACTATTGTCTATCACGTGGCGGTCAGTTTTTATTAGTGGAGGAAGTCAGAGTGACCGGAGAGAAACACTGACCTTCGGCGGGTCCAGATGACAACATAGGATTTTATTAATTTCAATAAGAGGAAAGGTTGGTAAGCGTTTAAGGAAAAGCAATAAAACCCCCAAAATTTTTTTTTTTTAATCATACAGACAAACGTTAAAAATCTAGAGGTTAAAAGTTTGGTAAAAAAAATGCAGGTTGTCATGTGTTAATTGACTTAACATTTGTTATTCATATTCAATACACACAAGTACTGAATTGACCGCAAGCGAATTGTCTGAACAGTACTGAATTGACCGTAAGCGAATTGTCTGAACAGTACTGAATTTACCGCAGTTGATAAGTCATTAACTTAATAACTGATAACTGGAAAAGGCTGAATATAGATATAAGAAGATGTGGTATGAGTGTCAATGAGACAACTATCCATCCAAGTCAAAATTTATAAAAGTAAACCATTATAGGTCAAAGTACTGTCTTCAACACGGAGCCTTGGCTCACACCGAACAGCAAGCTATAAAGGGCCCAAAAATTACTAGTGAAAACCCATTCAAACGGGAAACCCAACGGTCTAATCTGTATGAAAAACGAGAAACGAGAAACACCTATGAACCACATCAACAAACGACAACTACTGAACATCAGATTCCTGACTTAGGACAGGTGCAAACAATTGCAGCGGTGAATATGACTGAATAATTCATTGTTTAGACTTGTCATGTGATGTTCAGATAAAAAATGACCGTTTAAGACTAATATTCATTTACTAATGTATACATACAATTGCATCAGGAATTCTTTGAAGTATGTATATTGGCGTATCAATTATATGTAATCTAAGGAAAACATAGATATGAAATATAATTATGACTAACATATGTTCATTTTACAGGGATTTCATGGCCTGGATATAGAATTGGTTAAAAAGTATGGTCGTGTTGTTGGGTAAATAAGGTTTACATTTTCTTTCTACAAAAAATCTAACAAGACGGTTTAAACCAATAAAACAAACGACAAATGGTACGATTTTTTTATTGAAAGAAAAATCCCATTAAATTAGAATATATTAAGAGGGAAAAATAAATCGAAATACATACCCCTTAAAAATAATGAAAACAATAAAAAAAAATCTGATATATTATATAGCACACAGTAATTAAAACTATCCGAGATTTATACTAAAAGCTTGGAATATCATGTACACATTGAAAAAAAAACCTTTATGTCGATCTTCATTCAATGTTTAAATTTTATAGTAGGCGATATCTTTAACATAGAGGTAAATAAACTGCTATCATTTTTGCAGGACATACGTTGGACATTTTCCGTCTATTCTCATCTCAGATCCTGATATGATCAAAGAGATATGGGTCAAAGACTTCAAACATTTTTCTGATAGGCCAGTAAGTTTTATCAGTATGTATAAGTAAACAAAGGACTAATGCATTCTGACCGAGAAAAAAATACAGATGCTTTTCTAACACACAACGTATTGCAACGCGTGGATGAAATTTGAAAAAAAGGCAGGACAGCAGTTTTGAGTAAAAAAAAAGGCAGTATGAGCAACTTTGCAAAAAAAAAAAGGCAGGATGACAATTTATTTAAAAAAGGCAGGATAAACTGATAAAAAACAGGCAGGTCCGAATAGAGTGAAAAATAAAAAGGATCAAAAAGGCAGGACAGAGATTACAACAAAAAAATGCAGGACAAAATTTTTCATCCTAGCCCCCCATAAAAATCAAATGGTAGCTCCTTAATTACAGAATTGCATGTGGTGGGTTGATTTTTTTTTGCCATTTGTTCAAACTAGTTTATGTTGTCCGTGTATTCTATCGAGCTCTGTACCACGTGATGATATCAGTTTCTCGATTAGTATTAGATACAGAACAAAGGTATACTAACAAAAAACAGGCTGGTAACAACCGTTGCCGTATAGTTTTTCTGCTCCGTTCAAGTCCGAGGCGATAGCGATAGGGGTGGACTTTAAGTAGTGACAAACAAAAAAATACCTTTAATCTATATTTCCTATCACAATAGTCTTATAGTCTAGAAATAAGTTACTGTGGATTCATTTATTTTCGTGGGTATCAATTTTCGTGGATAGAGCAAAAAAGGCATTTCGTGGGATACGTAAATTCGTGGTTCGCTGTTTCAAAAAAAAAAAAAAAATGTTTCAGATACGTAAATTCGTGGATCACTACTAGTATATGAAGAATAGTTAAACAAAAGATAGTAGTTCATTGAAAATGTTTTGAATCGTCAAAATCCTCGCTTGGACATTCTATGTTAAAGTGTTCATTTACAAGCGCGGACAAAGGCAACTAATGATTTGTTTGCTTTACAATTTATAATTTGTCGTTAGAATTTTATAAGGTATACAAAGGCCCTTTGGTGTACAACTGATTGAAAGTTATTTTTCCTAATCAAGACATAATAAGAAGTAATTAGAAAATGATCAAAAGTAAGAAACAAGCTAACGAAGTTTGCGATCCAAGCTGGAACCCAAGCCATACAACAATGATAAAATTTACTCATCTCACGATTTTGTTATATATACTCTGGGAAATATGATTCCCTCATAACAAACAATGTCGCTTCAACAGTGGTTAAAGTCCGGTAGTATTAAGGTGAAAGCTCCTGCCACGCCAGGCTTGCCCGATCCATCTCAATGCAGTACACAACGTGATGTTCTTGTAACCCAAGCAGCCAACGACGGTATTGACACGATGAATTCTGCTACTAGCCTTCCAACTACTCCAACCAGAAAACGCAAACGGGGAGACTACAACTTTTATGATGACGAGACACGTGCTAAAATTGCCAGATATTCAGTCGAGAATGGCGTGGCTAGAGCTGCACGCAAGTTTTCCAGTGACCTCGGCAAGAAAGTTAGCGAGACGTCTGTTCGTAGCATGAGAGACACCTACCTTAAATTTAAAAAACAAGGTAACTATCGTGATTTTTTATCTGTTTTCAAAGAAAAATATTTTCTTTTTTATGTTCAATTTTTAGATTCAATGCTAAATATAATTATTCTCATCTTTAACGTTTTACTTCGAAATTTTTTTTTATCTTAATAGTACTAGTGCTTTGTTTTTTTTACATGAAAAAGCTAATTTTATTCTTATTTTTAGTTTCATATCGGAAATAATTATTGCACTTAAAATTTTTATGGTCGAATTTTTAATTAAAATTTCAATTGTATAAAGTATGAAATGTACTGATCAATGTCTGAAAGAATTATAATTAAATTGTGTAACAGTAAATCGCGTTAGGTTCAGGTGCCAGTAAATTTTTATTTTGATAAAATGTTGTTTCTGTCCAGAATAAAGAAACACAATGCTTAAACGGCATTTTATCAGAATATTATTTGAAAGCAGTTTGTAACCTCCGTGCTCTTCCTTTGACCAATTTGTTGAGTAAAATTTTATTTCGTAAAACATGTCGTTTTTGTCCAGAATAAACTAAAGTACACGCTTAAACGACAATTTCACGGAATATTATTTGAAATGCAATTTGTGTCCTCCCAGCTCCTTCTTAATCCAATTTGTACAGTAAGATTTTATTTTGATAAAATGTTGTTTCTGTCCAGAATAAAGAAACACAATGCTTAAACGGCATTTTATCAGAATATTATTTGAAATGCAATTTGTAACCTCCGTGCTCTTCCTTTGACCAATTTGTTGAGTAAAATTTTATTTCGTAAAAAATGTCGTTTTTGTCCAGAATAAACTAAAGTACACGCTTAAACGACAATTTCACGGAATATTATTTGAAATGCAATTTGTGTCCTCCCAGCTCCTTCTTAATCCAATTTGTACAGTAAGATTTTATTTTGATAAAATGTTGTTTCTGTCCAGAATAAAGAAACACAATGCTTTAACGGCATTTTATCAGAATATTATTTGAAATGCAAGTTGTGTAGTTTTTGTCCAGAATAAGCAAAAGTACATCTGCAATTTATCGAAATTTTATCTGAAATAAAATATATTCTACCTGTGTTACCTTATTAAACGATTGTCTACATATTTGCAAAGTCAAAGGTGTGAATTTTATTGTTCCTGTCACAAAAATATCACCTAAGGGCAACGTCCCACCCTTAATCCTTTTAATCGGCAATAAAACCAGATTTTGACACGGTAATTAACAACTCATTCACCGTTATTTTCTAATGAATAATTTATATCAATTTAAAAACGTAGATTATGAATGATATTTTAAAGTTTTTATTGTTTATTTAAGGAGGTGGAGACATAGAAGTTTTACCAAGATCGCCACGTGGAAATCCTCTCTTACTTGGTCACCTAGATAACGACGTGCAACAATGGATTCTCAACGTGCGTAAGAACGGTGGAGTCATCAACTCACGCATCGTTATGGCAGCAGCTGAGGCCGTTGTGACAAAGTTCGCCAGACACAAGCTGCAAAAGTATGGCGGGCATATCAACATTACAAAGACCTACGCTATTTCCGTTTTCCGCCGCATGGGCTTCGTTAAGCGTAAGGGAACCAAGGGTGTAAAACATCTACCAGCTGATTTCGACGACATTAAACAGGAGTACGTAAAAAAAGTCAGCACAGTCATTAAGCAACACAGCATTCCAGACTCTCTTGTGATTAACTGGGACCAGACCGGGTGTCAGCTGATACCAGGCGGCGACTGGACAATGGAGCAACAGGGCTCCCAACAGGTACCAATCACATGAATTGATGACAAACGTCAAATAACACTTCTTCTAGCAACATCTATGAACGGGTCTCTATTGCCACCTCAGCTAATTTACCAGGGTAAAACAGACCGTAGTTTACCGAAAGGTGTCGATTTTCCAGACAACTGGGATGTTACAAGTACCGAGACACATTGGAGCAATGAAGACACAATGATCCGTTTTGTAGATAAAGTCATCTTGCCTTACGTAGAGGGTATTATTGAAGATCTTCCTCTTTCTCAGAAAAACCAGAAAGCCGTAGCTATCTTTGTTGTTTACAGAGCCCACACAGGAGAAAAGCTGCTAAGCCACTTAAAGAAAAATGACATCATTCCCTTGTTTGTGCCTGCAGCCTGTACTGACAAACTACAGCCGTTGGACTTATCCGTTAACCGAGAATATAAAGAACAATTAAAATCTAATTTCCATGACTGGTACTCAGCACAAGTAGTGCAACAACTAAACCATCAAGAAGACATCACCGGTGAACGTGCACCAAAGGTCATTGTAGATTTGAAGACATCCGTCATGAAACCCGTTCATGCCCAGTGGATAGTTTCAACACACCAGATCATGTCCACACGTACCGACCTAATCAAGTCTGGCTTCCGTAAAGCAGGTTTATTGTAAATTTGACATTAGAACATTTTATCTAGTGCTTTGTTTCGTACTGAGTGACATTGTATGTATGTGAACTAAAGTCTTGTTAAAGATTGTTAAAAGTATGTGTGCAAATGTGTTGTTACATGTATGTGTATTTGAGCGGTTATATAATTTCAATTAATTTATTATATATGTACTTGTATGTAATGTTTGTTAAAATGTTTAAATGAAAGTGGAATACTAGTATATGAATAAATGTAATCAAAATACTTTTCTATTTTATTTAAAACACGTGTTTTGTTACCATGTTTGTCCCGAATCAACACTACACTAGTATTGCAAAAGATAACCGGAAGTAAACATCCGATTCATTTCAAATTTGTCGGGATTATTGTTCGTTGAATTCTTAAATTCGTGGTTTGCTGTGTCCCACGAAAACCACGAAAATTGGTATACCACGAATAAAAATGAATCTACAGTAATGTCCTCTTTCGAAGCCACTTTATATTTTATAACAAATCTTCCGTATAGTTTTTTTTCGATTTAGACGCTTTAAAAGATTTCAGCTTAACTGCTCAGCAAACCCACGAGAGGTTTGTACATGGAAACTTTTTATGGTTGCAGTTACTCTTGCGGTCAGTAACTTCGTAGATACTTTATTTAATTTCGGCATTTTGGGAAATAGCTTTTTTATAAATATAAGTTTTATGAACGCTTTTCATATTAATTGTATTCATAAAACGAGGTAATTGTGCCACCAAGTGCACGATAAAGTGCCTATGAACTCATTGAATGCACGAGTGACTATATTCATAAAAAGTGTCCGTGTAACTCCATAAAAAATGTCCGTGCAACACCCGTTATTGTACTGTTTTTCCATAGCCTTGCAAAGTCGTACAACGGACAATATCTTTCAACTAACATTCAGTACAAGTAGCCAAGTTGTTGGGTTTTATAATTGGGATAATTAAGTTTCAATTGTATTTTCAAACACGGTGTATATCAAATTTCCATTGCTTTCTAAGAGAAAATGTTAAGACAACAGGTTGTGTTTATGCATATTAGTTAGTGATCATGCAGCTTTGGTTTTGCAATGACAAAAAGATGAAGCCTTGTTTTTATATAAATTGTATTGAAGCTGCTTTTTCACAACAACTTTGTTATGATAATGATCGGTGTTGCAATAAAGAGGCCTCATGGGGATGTCCAAGTAATCACATAATCACAAATTTTTTGCCAATATAATCACATAATCAAATCATTAATTATTTTTTTTAAACAAGATGATCAAATAATCAAAAATACAGTCCTAGATTATCAAATAATCATGAAATAGTTGGTCTGGTAATCAAATAATCACTCTAAAAACGGCCAAGTAATCACATAATCAAAAATCCCATGAGGAGGCTCAATAAAATCATGCAACAGATTGTGACAAATTACATAAAAAATACATACTCCGATACATTTTACAATAATCATTTATCCAACAGTCCCTTGTTTTCAGTTCCAAAGACCATTTTAAAAATAACATAGACTTTGTAGCTGTCAAGGAGCAGGGCAAAAAAAGTTCAAAAATGGTCCTCCAAATAGGACTGTGTAACATGATATCTAAAGAATACAAATATAAAAATAAGAAGATGTGGTATGATTGCCAATGAGACAACTATCCACCAGAGACAAATAACATTGAAGTTAACCACTATAGGTCACCGTACGGCCTTCAACAATGAGCAAAAACCCATACCGTATAGTCAGCTGTAAAATGCCCCGAATCGACGAATGTAAAACAATTCAACGAGAAAACTAACGGCATTGTTAATGTACAAAACAAGAACAAAAACCAAATATAATATACAGCAATAAACGACAACCACTGAAATACAGGTTTCTGACTTGGGACAGGCACATAGAAAATATGGCGGGGTTAAACATGTTTGCTTCTAGACATTGTTGACAGCTTCAATAGTAGGATATTTCACCACTTTTTTCTGTATTTCCTGTTTAAATGCATGTTTCCTTTTGAAAAACATTGGCCACACCATTCGACCAAAATCAATAATTGGATTATCAAATAATATATTGCAACTTTTATTTGAAAGTGATCCCCATAAAGGCAGTATTTCGTATCCATTTAAATTTTGAGTTATTTCACTATTGGATGAAGAATGCAATGCAGTCTCGTTTTCGAAAAGATTAAATGATTTATAATCACAGGAACTAGCCTACGCTGGAGAGATGGCCTATTCAGCAGTAACGCTAGCGATAGGAGAACATTGGAAGTTCTTACGTAATGTGCTCAGTCCATCGTTTAGTCCAGCCAAACTAAAACAGGTTTGTTGCTTTTACACTTCGTTTAGATATACCATATAATAATTATTCTGATGTGTACGAAGCGCTTTTCTGGATTAACCTCTATATCAAAAACCCAAACATTTAAAAGACTATGATGTATAAGTACTTGAATACGTGAAGAGCCATATGAACAAAAGTGTTCTCCCCAAAATAATAGCCATATGAAAAAAAGTGTTCTCCCTCAAAAGAATAGCCATATGAAAAAAAGTGTTCTCCCCAAAATAATAGCCATATGAACAAAAGTGTTCTCCCCCAATAGAATAGCCATATGAACAATAGTATTCTCCCCAAAAAGAATAGCCATATGAACAAAAGTGTTCTTCCCAAAATAATAGCCATATGAACAAAAGTGTTCTCCCCAAAAGAATAGCCATATGAACAAAAGTGTTCTCCCCAAAATAATAGCCATATGAACAAAAGTGTTCTCCCCCAAAAGAATAGCCATATGAACAAAAGTGTTCTCCCCCAAAAGAATAGCCATATAAACAAAAGTGTTCTCCCCCAAAAGAATAGCCATATGAACAAAAGTGTTCTCCCCAAAATAATAGCCATATGAACAAAAGTGTTCTCCCCCAAAAGAACAGCTATATGAACAAAAGTGTTCTCCCCCAAAAGAATAGCCATATGAACAAAATTGTTTTCCCCCAAGAGAATAGCCATATCAATCTACGGTCAACTTTCCTTGAGGAGTTCAAACCTTTTATATTAAGGGTGTTCGCTCCACTTGTTTTTGAGTTTTTAGCCAGATATTAGGAATCCTCTGGTTTTATCTATGTAGTGCTATTAAAAAAATTTGCCTGCTAACCCCTACATTTCTTTTCATAATTTAATAACATATTGTTTAAAAAGACATATTTGAAAATCTTATAAAATCCTTATTATTTCATCATAGTTTTTGAAAGAAAAAAGGTGCCAATGTTAAATGTATGAAAAGTCTAGAGAGAATCATTTCCCGCCAATTTTTCAATAGCTTATATCTCGAAAACAAAGACACGAACCCTTAATTTTAGTTCCTTCATTTATATACTATCAATTTATAACAGTCTTTTACAAAGCTTGTTATTTTGAAACAGAGTAGCGAACATCCTTAAACACTCGTTTATATGCAGTATTGTTGATTTTTTTCCAGATGTTTTCATCAATCGAAGATTGTTCTGATCAGCTAATATCTCAAATCAAGAAACAGTCACAGAGGAACACATCAGTCAACATGGACCAGTGAGTGTGATACGTTCAGTTTAATTTAATCGTGAAAATAGAATAAAAATCGAAATCCCAACATTCATAATTTATTTGATCTCAAGTTTTGTGGTATAAAGTCTGTCGCACAATTTTCCGATTGCTCATACACTATTGTCCCAAAAAAAGTAAAATAACAAAAATACCGAACTCCAAGGGAAATTCAAAACGGAAAGTCCCCTTATAAAATGGCATAATCAAAAGCTCAAACACACCCAACGAATGGAAAACAACTGTCACATTCCTGACTTGGCACATGCATTTCACCATGCAGAAAACGGCGGATTAAACCCGGCCCTATAGCCAGCCAAATCTCTCACTTGTATGACAGTCGCATAGAATTCCAACTTACTGTCTCATTTCTCCTTGTATTCATAGTATTCAAGAGATGAACTGTCCATATAAGTAATTATTAGATATGATATATATATGTACCAACAATTTGTTGTTTTCATCTTTTTAACCCTATTATACGTTATAAAAATCATTTTCCAACAGAACTGAAACCAATTTCTATCGGTGTTCAGTTTCTATGTTACAGAATATGTCAGGGATTTTCTATGGATGTTATATGCGGGACAGCATTTGGACTTAAGGTAGACTCCCAAGAGAATCCAAATAATGAATTTATCAAGATGGCTAAAGAAATGACAAGCTTGAAGTTCTCGAGTCCGCTATTTCTCCTACAAGGTAAGATTGAAAGATCACCGGGAATTCTAATATTAGATGGGTTTTGTATACAGGCACCTTTCTAGTTTCGAAGACTGTATGTTGACCAATAACTGCCTTTTGGATGTTTTTGTTACTTTGGAATATACCCCATATCTCTTTTTATTCATATAGAGTATCTATCGTCCACTCTTTAGTATTAATTTAGTGTAATTGTACTTGATACAAAAGTTCATTTTAATCTTTCTTGTTTTGACTTCTGTCTCTTCAGCTCTCTATGACGGTTTGCATTTTCGGCCAGTTTTCGCCTCGTTTTGAAAACCTGTAAGCAATCTTAGATTTTTCAGAGATGCTACACTATATACATTTATGATTTCAAAAGGAAACATCTCTTGTGTTTTGCAAATAAGAAGATGTGATAGGATTACCAACGAGACAACATTCCACCAGAGACCAAAAGTTACCGTACTGCCTTTAACAATGAGCAAAACCCATACCGCAAAGCAAGCTATAAAGGTTCCAACATGACAAATGAAAAACAATTAAAACGAGAAAACTACCTTACTTAATGTGACGTTAAATATAGTTTGCATTTTCATCTTGATGATGTCTTCATTTTAACATACAAAAAAAAAAGCTAATATAATTTCAATATTAAACATATCTTCACGTAAAGAAGTTAAAATAACAAATTTTCTTTTTAAAAATATAATAATTCAAAATTTGAATAAAATCATTTACTTCTTTCCCACAGCGTTCTTCCCAGAATTAAGACACGTTTTCAGCAAATTTGAAATTCGACCTTTTCCAAGTGAGGCCATTGATTTTTTCATGGATATTACGAAAACTGCAATACAGAAAAGAAAAGATAACAAAATGGTAATCATCATACATCAAAAGATATTGTACATTTCCAGGGGCGCAGGAGCCGAGAGCATGGGAACAATTCTCCCACTTAACCACTTAAACTTAACAAAATCTGTGTATTTGATAAAAACTTATTTTAATTGCTTACAGCAACAAATTACAAATATCTTTCTAAATAGTAGGCGTCCGAAGTGCTCTTCTGGAATTACCTTCATCGGGAACGCTCCCAATCAAAGCCAAATATTTAAAAACCAAGGACGTATAACGGCAGTGAAACACATGAAGAGTTATTTGAGCAAAAGTGACTTAAAATTAATAGCCAAATGACTCTCTAATCAACTTTGCTTGAGGAGCCTATGCATTGTTTTAAAAGAGATAAAATTCGTAAGGGTTCCGCGAAACCCAGTGTCTCGCCTTCTTTTGCTGATGTCTATGTTTTCAGTGTGACGACGACGGAATGAAGGATCGCTATGTCTCACGTTGCAGGCTCAACAAAAATGGGGAAAATTATTAAAAATGTTCCTCTAGATACTATCTTTTGATTGTAAGAAGCTTCTGTCCAAGTTTGGTAAAAATCCAGGATGGTTTATGAATCTAATGTTTTAAAAACTTTAACTGCAGACTGTATGTAATTTTAACTGGAAGAAAAACTAAGTCCATTTATAAGATATATACGGAAAAACAGGAAATAAATTTTTACAAAATTTCCTTCAAGATACTAGCTTTTGATCATAAACAAGCTTCTGTCCAAGTTTGGTACAAATCCAGGATCGGATAGTTTAAGAAAGTTATCAAAATTTTAAAAACTTTAACCAGAGTGAATGTAATGTTAACTGGCAGAAAAACTAAGTCCATTTATAAGTAAAATACGGATAAACAGGATTTTTTTTTTTACAAAATCTACTTCTGGATACTATCTTATGATCATAAACAAGCTTCTGTCCAAGTTTGTTAGAAATCCTGGATAGTTTAAGAAAGTTATTAAAATTTCAAAAACTTTAACCACAGAGTGAATATTTGTGGACGCCGCCGCCGCCGCCGCCGACGACGACGACGGAATGTAGGATCGCTATGTCTCGATTTTGCGACAAAAGTCGAAGGCTCGACAAAAACCATATCTAAATTGATTAGAATCTATAGCAACAATATATGATAATGAAAACAATAATATTAAAAATATCTCTTAAAGTCAATCAAACCGTATCAAACTAGAATTAAACGGTTAAACTACTATTATTAAAATTAATCGTAGTTTGATAGTAGTTTGATAGTAGTTTGATAGTAGTTAGCATTAACTTTGATTGACTGCAACAGAATACACCAACAATATTTTGACATTTTACATATTTTAATAATGTATCACTATAGTTGCTGCAGTGGCGTAGCTTGCCCTTTGATATTACCGAGGCAGGGGGTCTGGGGGGTGGGGGGGGGGGGGGGGGGGTTGGGGGGGTGGGAGGGGGGGGGGGGGTTGGGGGGGTGGGAGGGGGGGGGGGGGTTGGGGGGGGGCTGCGCCCCCCAGATGCTATAAAGGTTTTACCATTTGAAAAACGAAAAAAAACCATTAAAGTTATAGCAGTTGTTTTACTTTATTCAACATAATAATGCTAATACGTTTTAACAAAAGCTACATGTAAACAATATGTCAAGCTCCGATGTTACTTTTTTCCTTTCTCTTTGTAAGAGATCTTGAATACTAGTGTTTTAAAATACCATAATCATGTGTGCTTTAGATTTATTTATGAAAGTTGAATTCTGTAATATGTTTTAAATTTTGATACTGAAAGTCTTCTACAGGTGCAAAGCACCAATTCTTCTATTTCCCCAGCGTCAAACTTGTCCAATACAAGGTTTCGGTCAATTTCTTTATCCTTGTGGATGTGCATTAAGGCCAGTCCGTTCAATCGATGATCGGTCATTGTTGTCCGGTTCCATAGTTTAAGTCTTCTAAGTGCAGAAAGGGATCTGTTTTAGATCTGTTTTAGAAGAGATTATATCAGTTCCCTAATTTCGATTGTGGACTAACGGACCCTCGGGATGATTTATACTTTTATAGATGACTATGCGGTATGGGCTTTACTTATTGTTGAAGGCCGTACGGTGATCTATAGTTGTTAATTTCTGTGTCATTTGGTCTCTTGTGGAGAGTTGTAAACCGCTAGTTTCCGGCAAAACCTTAAAAGTCTTGAAACGATTGACGAGTGGATTACGATTAAAAGGTTTACGCTATGAATGATATAAATTGAAGGTATACTCAAATAACCATGCAGTGAGTAAAAGGAGATATGGGACAATGTATACGTCTATCACGGTCTATGAGACAGCAACCACATTGAAACGACACAAATAACTATACAACATCTTGAGGTCATCATACTGTCTTCACCAAAACGCAGGTGACTTTATACTAGTAATATGTCTTGTGCAAATTTTTTCGACTCCCGAGTCTTTAGTAAGTTGTGTATGATTTAAACCGATACTATCTAATCTACGGTCAACTCAAAGTTATAAAAATAACAAAACACGTGAAGATATGATCACCTCACAGAATCTGCCAATTAATTTCCAAACCGTCGTACACTCTCTAATATCTGTGTCTGTACCTTACTGTGACACAAGATTTAACGAGTCATATCAGAAGGGAAACAGGACCGTGTTTGATGATTAGAAGACGCATGAACAGAATTTTAAATGCAGAAAAAAACAAACGAAATGATTAAGGTTTATTAAAAAAATGTTTGTGATAATCATTTACTCACTCGGTCACGAACAAACGAATAGATGATCATCACAAAACGACGAACGGATTGAACAGCAACATTTCCTGATAAGTTAGGAAATAAACCCGGGCCGCACGCTATATGTAAAGTGCGACATGGCACGTTCTATTCAGTTTTGTTTTCGCCGATATTTCTTGGAAGGACTAGAATTAATTACTCTTTTAAATATGTAAATTCTACTAATGCCAAACTATAAATTTAAAATAGCGAGAAAAAAAGTAAAAAAACAACATAAAAAATTTAAATTGTGTCAGTCTGCATGTTGATTGATATATATAAATTTGTATATTTTTTTTACTGGTATCAAAGTCAATGAAACTCTGTGTAATTAAAATTGAAGACATGGGACTCAGGGAAGGGGGGGGGGGGTAACACACAACGATGTTTCAGTTGTATATGTTAGTACTACATACTGCCGGTTCAAGATATGAGGGTTTGAACATTCATTTCTAATTCTTTTTGCCCATAATTTTATTTTCCTTTCATATTTTGGCACCATTCTAAATTTCTATTCTTTAAACTTTACATTTATTGCAAGTCTATTTACCTCATCCAGACCCTCATTTACTAGAAATTTCAAACACAAAATTAATAATTTTAATGTTTTACCTGAATGGGCAAGTGATTCGATCGGAGAAGTCTCGTGAGTTGGATCATCATCAGGATCTATTCTACTGATTTTGCTTGGAGTAGGGTTAAATAAATCTGTAAGCTTCAATTGTGTCGATTTCTTTGAGTCGGACATACTTTAGATTACTGAAACCACCGCAAAGGGGATTTCCAATAAGGGGAGGGAAATGTTTCAATAAGTCTTGAATTTGCAAAGGATACCGTCTATCCGTCTACGAATCAATACCGACAAAAAGCCGTCTGATAGTATTATACAAGTCGGTTTATAAGCGTTTGGTAGCGAGTCTGCTGCTTCAGGTCGAAATTGTTTAAAAGAATTAGATTATAAAAGTTTTTTTTTTCCACAACTGCCTCGGTTGTCTCAACGTAAGCTACGCCATTATGCTGTTTAAACTAAATAATTCTTAATGATAGAATATCTATGTATCTACACTCTGTCCTGTTAGAGTATGGTTTAATTAAAGTATGTGTTTATATTCAGACAAGGCCAGACTTTTTACAACTGATGATAAATAATTATAAAGGAGAGAGTGCGACAGATATAAAGAATGGCACCATTGAAATGTATAAGCAACGAGGTAAGGATTGTATAAAAATGATCAAAGCAGACATTCCTACAACATTCTAACCTTTGAATGACTTCAAATTAATGAACACGTGACCATTAGAAATTTCAGTAATAATGCCCATGTGTCCTATTCTAATAAAATTGACAATATAAAAATTAGACTTAATGACATAAAAGTTAACAACTATATGTCAACGTATGGCCTTCAATAATGAGCAAATTTAATACCACAAAGCAAGCTGTAAAAGGCAAACGAAATGTAAAACAATGCAAACGAGAATACCAACGGCCTGATTTATGTACAAGACAATAAACCAAAAAAAAAAATAATATACAGCAAAAAAGTTAAGATACTCTTTGTTGATTTTGAAACATGTTTTTTAAGTATAATATACACTTTTCTGATTTCGATTTTTACCTGTATGATATAGGTATAACAGAAACGGAGATTTTAGCGAACTCCTTGATTTTTTTCCTTGATGGCTATGACACAACTGCAGCAGGGCTGATATTCAGCATTTATCGTATGGCGGTTCACCAAGATCATCAAGAGCGATTATTTCAAGAAATCAACCATGAAATTGGCAAGGTGATTTTATTATCATTGTTTATTTGTTAAAACAGACATTATATAAATAACACATAGCTGAGAGGGTGATAGAGCAGATTGTTACCCCGAGAAAACATTGTCAACTGAGGCGAAGCCAAGGTTGACAATGTCTTTTCGAGGGGTAACAATCTGCTCTATCACCCTCTCAGATATGTGTTATTTAATTTATTATACTGAATGTTCTGTTATTACTGTCTATTAAATTTCAAATTCAAAGTAATAAACTATGACGTCCATTAGTATTTATTAAAGCGCACACTTGATCAAGCGTCTCCGTGAAGGGTAATAGAGTATTTGCCATGGGATAGAGTAAATTGTCCACCTCGTATTAACCAATCAAAATCTGGCATTTTGACATGAAGTATAATAATGTTAAATGATGTATGTTAAACTAAAGATATATGAAGTGTTGGTGAGTGATTATTTTTATATGTCCTCATGAAGTACACTTAAAGTTTCTCTTTGTTGATTTTGTGTTTATTCTTTAAACTTTTACGAAGACTAAGGGTGACTAAATGATTGCTTGATTGTTGTGAGTCCAGTGGCAGATATTTGATGCGTGTTCTTGATTTGGCCTTCCAACTATTTTTTTTGTTTTGTTCGAGCGCCACTGATGAGTCTTATTTAGACGAGATGCGCGACTAGCGTATACCAAATTGTAGTCTTTGTTATCTTAGGTGAATTTTTACTGAAGTTCCCTTGATAATCGAAATTTGTTAATTTTTAAAAGATTTTCTGAATTTTTATTTTTTTTTTGCGTTTGTTTTTTCAACCTCAAATTATTTATAATATAGCAGCAAATGAGTGTAAAATAAAGAAAACACACTTTGGCATTACTTTTGCGTTACAGGATTCGCCAAGCTATGAACAAATAATGAAGTTACAGTACCTTGACATGTTTTTCTGTGAGGTTATGAGAATGTATCCACCAAGTACAAGGTACGTTATTCCATTAGTTTCATAGCAGAAAACTAAAATGACTGACTATGTTCAAAAAATAGTTTACAAGGTATAGGCCTATATTCGATACAATTTCAAGCGTAAATTTTTCATCGTGGGTTGTCTAACAATGACTCTCAGTGAGTATTACAAGATTTTCTAACTTGGAACAGGTACAGATATGGTTTTCAATCATGCAGACGCCATTGTTCTGAACGCCATAAATTTACAAAAAAGAAAACAAAATTACTAAAGTTGCTCATTAAAACAAATATGGCGGGCATACTACTATAAAGACTTTTCAAAAGCTATAAACAACACATAGTCTATCATAAAATACAAATGTGAAGATCTATATTGTATTAAGACAAGTAAAATTTGTATTGAAATTAAGAGTAAGGATTTTAGTGATTGTTTAATGACATATCGTCATGTGTTTTGTAATATGGAGAATTATGTGTTGGTGACAAGATTTTGATACTATTGACTTCCAGATGTCTTTTTGTTATATATTGGGTTGGGTTACTGTCTCATTGACGTATACCCCACATCTACCTGTATTCAAATTAAGACTACTTGAAATGTTTATGGTGATACACAGCTTGGGTTGGTGTTTCTCAAACTGTTTTTATGCAGTGGTGCTAGTTTGTAGTATTAATTTTTTTTCTAGAAAGGTGCGAGTCAAGTTCTGTCTCTGTGTGATACGGGTGCTCCAAGAACGGAGGAAATAACTCAGATAAGAAGAAGACAATCTAGAACTCTCTGATGATTTAAATCATTTCTTCATTGGTGCGAGTTTGTAGTATATTTTTTTTTCTCGAGTGGTGCGAGTTCTGTCTCTGTGTGACACGGGTGCTCCGAGAAAGGAGGAATTTACTAAGAGAAGAAGAAAACAATCTAATGATTAAACACATTCTTCGAGTTTGTTATATTTCTTTTTTTTGAGTGGTGCGAGTTTGATAAAGTGATGCAAGTTGTAATAATTAGTGAGAGTGTTTGAGTGGTGCGAGTTGGCTGTGGGTCAAGTTGTCGGGCAGTACGTCGACTGAGCATGCGCGAAATCGTATAAGACACGGATCGATAACGGTCTCCGAATTTGGATATTTTCTCAAAATTTGCGTTTTCTGTGGAAAAAAGATTGTTTCAAAGACAAATTTAGGAAGTACAAAACACTACATTTATACGTCATATCACAAATATTTCCGACTTTGTATAGTTTCAGAGGAGTTGCGGCTCAATGAAATCGGTCTCTTCCTTTAGTAGTATAGATAGTCGAGTTGACCTGTACAAATTGTATGATTTCAGAACAAACAGAAAGACCATGAAATCGGTAACAGTGAACGGTTACAGAATACCAGATGGCGTTGAAGTCACAGTTCCTATATATGCCATGCATTATGACCCTGAACTATGGCCAGAACCAGAAACATTTGACCCGGAAAGGTACCCTTATCACTAATGTTTTGGTAAATGAGTTCAAGATCTTTGTTTTGCCATGCAAAAAACTGAAACCAAGCAATTATGACATTTGATGTAATATTATTTTTTTGTTTGATTGTATGTTGGTCTGTTGCATATTTATCCGAGTTTTGAATTTGCTGAACAGAATAATTTCATTTAAGCTATTAATGGTACACAGTCCGTTTTACATAGAATAGAATAGAATAGAATAGAATAGAATATTTTTATTTCCCAAATTACAGGGCCCATAAAGGGCATAAAATCAGATACAATTGATTTACATAATTGGTAACCACAACAATAATAGTCACATATAATACAATATAATATAACACTGATTGTACTGATAACTAATAAAATGCTGTAACAATCTTACAAAAAATCTTTTTTCCAGATTTTCAGCAGTAAACAAAGAAACCCGAAGTCCTTATTCGTACATGCCATTTGGTCATGGACCTAGAAATTGTATTGGAATGAGGCTGGCAAATCTAGAAACAAAAATGGCAATGGTTAGAATACTACAACACTTCCGGTTAAAACCGACACCTGATACGAAGGTTTGCTACTAAAAAGACGTATTACAGTTTAATTTTCAGTTGAAAAAAATAATCATTTTTAAAGCGATTTTGTCGTAATAAATGACTATAATGGATTAGTCCTACGCAATGAGCGATTACAAGGACAAGCTAGCTATCACAGATCAAGTTGGCTCACGAAGGATATTTTTGCAGAATTTTTATAAGCGCACGGCTTTAAATAAAATAAATAAATAAATAAATAAACAGTCTTTATTTGAAGAGGATAATACCATTAGTTAAAACTAATCTACCTGAGAGTACTTAAAATTGAAATAACATATTCGTAAAGTACATGCAATATTATAATGATACAAGTGTATTAGGGGGCTACCATTTGATTTTTATGGGGGGGCTAGGATGAAAAATTTTGTCCTGCATTTTTTTTAGCTGTAATCGCTGTCCTGCCTTTTTATTTTTCACTCTATTCGGTCCTGCCTTTTTTTTTTAGTTTATCCTGACTTTTTTTTTACCTAAATTGTCGTCCTGATTTTTTTTTTTTTTTTTGCAAGTGTCTCATCCTGCCTTTTTTTTACTCAAAACTCCTGTCCGGCCTATTTTTTTCAAATTTTTTGAAACCAGTTTAGAGGCAACATATTCAAACATATATATATATATCTTACTACCTTGGTTTAGACATTGGTAGTGTAGTTATTTCAAATATATCAAAAGACTTGTTATTTTAAGTGTTGTTGTTAATCTTAGGGAGCTGCCATTTGATTTTTATGGGGGGGGGGCTAGGATGAAAAATTTTGTCCGGCATTTTTTTTAGTTGTAATCTCTGTCCGGCCTTTTTATTTTTCACTCTATTCGGTCCTGACTTTTTTTTACATAAATTGTCATCCTGCCTTTTTTTTTTGCAAAGTGTCTCATCCTGCCTTTTTTTTAGTCAAAACTCTTGTCCTGCCTATTTTTTTTCAAATTTCATCCTAGCCCCCCCCATAAAAATCAAATGGTAGCTCCCTTACACTATATGTGTGTTGTTTATTTACAGATACCAATAGAGCTGGACAATACTCTATTGGTATCTGTACCCCTACGTCTGGGGGAATTCTCCGACCAAAGAATCCAGTTTATGTCATAATAGAGCCTCGCTAAATAAACTATGAACCGTATTCCAGTCTGACTTTGTAAACCCGGTGTTTTAGTTGTTGTCATATCCAAGTTTATAAATATATGTCATATAACATGTCTATTGTTTAGTATTTGTTTCTGTAACTCGTTTTTATATTATTACTAACTTGTAGATGGAGGGGGTTTAGTGTACTGGAGAAAAATATTCCGAAGGTTATAACTTTACAAAACTTGTACATTAATTTAACCCCAGATGCATTATCATTGATAGGAAAATAAAAATCGTTTGCAGAAATGAAGGTCGGTTTACGTAGAGTCGAAGAGTTATCGTTCTTAGACTACATTGTTTTGTTTATCTTGGTAAAAATTAGAACAAAGTTGTCTCTCGTTGAGCGTAAGTACACGGAATTTCATATACAGGAGAAAAATAAAGATATACCCATGCACTATTCTGAATAAATAATGTGCAACTTATATTTATCTTTGCAACTCATTTAGTATTTACGTGGCAGTCTTTGTCAGGTAATATAAAAGTATATCAAAACATGGCGAAAAAAAATGTTGAACTAACCATCCCATTTTGAAGTTACTTTCATCCCGAGTTAGAAATGGTAAGTCTTTTGTTTCGCATTTCAACCAAAATATACCTTGAAATACCCGAGAACAGCTAGGTAAAGGAAACGAATGCACTATTATACATTTTGAACGTAAATTAATGTAAACTTGAGCGGTTTTTTGTGTGTCATGTTTTCACTATTGCCCGATTCTTATCACGTAATCAATCATCAAATAATTCAAATTCTCTATGAATAAAAAAAGGGGTTTGTGGGTCAACGTCAATGAGTCAGCAATCCACAGTCACAAATTTTTTTTGATATTCTATTTTATTATTTACATTCCTAGATAGTGTCTCAATTTGTTTCGTTCTTTTAAAGGGGTACAGAACACCTAAGGGAATTAACTCTTTAAAAACCAGATAAACGTTTTAATCACATACTATTAGTAAAGAGAAATCAAGCTTTTCAATGATCAAAATTAGTGTTTGTCAAACTGCTATATAGTCAATGAAATTATTCCTGTTAAGTGTGTGGCTTAAATTTCATTAAATTTTTTATATTTTTGTCAACTGGTCAAAGTTCAATGTTTTTTTCAAAATTTAATGAAAATTAAACGAGCCAAATCTATGTTAGTCAAAGTGCTGGGTACCCCCTTAATATCTTGCTTATATAATAATTTGGGGATACAATTCTCCAAATTTCTATTATAAAATTTACGTTGGTTTTTTTTAAATGACCACAATATTTTCCCAAAACTAAGTTATTTTGTGAAATTTGAATACAAAGATGTAGAATGAAAACGCTGGGTTCCTTTTACATTATTTTTCTTGTATAATAGTTGATGTTGTTTTATATTACTTTAGTTTACTATGACCTTATATCCTAACTGAAATAATGTCAACGACCACTGTCGGCTATATACTCGAGAGAAGTGTTACACTGTCCTTATATAAAATAGTCGTTAGTACTAAATGTATTTATAATGTCACAAATCACTAACAATTTGTATGACAGCAATTAATGTCAATAAAATATTTGATTATGGTTTGTTAACTAAGGATAAGGGACTCGTTATTGAATATAACCATTTGTTATAAGTTTGTTTAATTGTACATGATTTTTTCTTGTCATTTATATGGTTTCCGGTGTTTTGCTTATTGGTCCAGCTAAATCCCTCAAATCTAAACTAAGTAAAAAAAAATCAGATTCTTTTATAAAAAAAATCTTTATATGTAATCTATGTCATTTCGTCTATGGTGGAAAGTTATCTCATTCGCGGGCATACCTTATCTTTATCTTTATTTTGGAGTTGAGACCCAGAGAATATAAGTATTTTTTGCTTGCTATTGTATATATAATGTATTCAAATGACGCTTTGATTTTGTTGCTGTAAGTATTATGTCTGCTTATATAGTAATAAAGACGTCTTTTCCACAAATTATTTCAATATAATACACGAAAGATGAATATTGAAATGGAGTGATTGAGTCGGCGAAATATAACGAATAAATTATGGACTTGCCTTTAAACCATTCGTATTTTTTTTATATGTGCTAGCATACAATCTTTTGAACTTTTACTGCGTTCTTTTAATATTAAAGTTTTCTATGTTTAGTGTGCGTTCAAAATTTCGATCAAAACTAAACCTAACTTTTTATGTACTTCAATTTGCAAAATGTTTTCGAAATTTTTTCCCGGTCATATTTATTTTCTTTTCTACCCCACGCTAGCCCCTTTTCTGTTTTTGATCAAAGTTAAAATGAAGCGATCAAAATTTGACCAAATCAAGGAGCCATAATTGCCTCGAGTGCCCAGTGTGTCCACATTATTTGTTTACATGTAACACATGTCCTAACCTGCAGCATGTGAGACAGGTGTGCGACAGATCTTCCTATCAACACTGTCAACACAAACCCCTTGAACTGTCAGAAAGAGGTTCAAGTGGGGAAAATCAATAGACACTCAATAATATATTAATCTTTGTTGGTATGTTTGACTTCTTATCAATACTGAGGTTCCCTTTGAAGTTCGTATTTGTAGTTTTCTATGTGACACAGAAATCTAAACAGTAAATTTAATGTGTTTGTTTTGTATTTATTTATTGTTAAGTTGCTGTAACATATAGCCGAATCCAGAATACATCGAATTTCATCTATATTGCGTCTCATTCAGGGCAAAAATATCTTGGAATATCGTCCATATTGAAAAAAAATCTCTTTCTTCTTGGTTAAATGTTACATGCATGACTATTATTCATTCTTAAAAAAATTAAGAATTATTAATCCAAAAATCAAAATCATATCTACAATGATTTTGAACAAAATCCTTGTGTTACCTCTTTTAATTTTATTACATCAAACATTTCAATCACCAATTTTACATAATAAATACTACAAATATTACATCTTTTGTTTCCTTAAGGAATATTACATACACGTACCTCTTGTAACCAGTTTTTGAGTGCTTAATTTAGTACATTTGATAAAAGGAGATAATAAATAACAAAAACAAAGACGGATCACTGTCTGTCGCAAAAATTAAAAATAAACTTAGAACAATGAATACCTACTTATACATACAACTGTCAGATGTCTCGGTTTTCTGAAAAACCTTTTTTTTAGATATACATAATAAATCATCAATTTGACTTAAAAAAGGGTAAAAAAGGCAATGTATATAGAAAACGATTTCTCCGACAATAGTATTCCGATAGTAAAACTCAAATATTTCAGAAATTAACATGGAAAAGCGACCAAAACATTTTTTTTAGCTCTGTACTATATTCAAAACTATCGAAAAAAAAGAAAGAATTAATTACATCAATATAAAGTAAAAATAAATCAGTAAGAATTACAAAACAATAGAACTGTCTACAACTTGTACTGACAAAGAACATTTAATATAAAATTACAAAGAGTTACTAATCGACTAGCCAGTCAACACTGAGGTTGTGAGTTCGAACCCCGCTCGTGCGGGTGCACTCGACTCCAATCTTAATTGACTAGGATTGTCAGTTTTCCTATCGAAGGTCGGTGGTTTTCTCCGGGCACTCCGGCTTCCTCCACCAATAAAAACTGGCCGCCACGAAATAGCCCAAAAGCGGTGCTTAAAAGTGGCGTTAAATCACAAAAAATCAAAATCAATCAAAGAGCTACTCGTTATTGTCCCTCTGTTTGTTCACTATTATTTTTGTATATTTTTTTAATTCTATAATCACAAGATGAATCCCTTTTGCAAGCAAAAAACAATTCATCAATCAATCAATCTTTTCCTCAGCTTTGACTACTATTTTCTACATAAGAATAAGAAGATTTAGTCATGTGACCGTGACGTCGTCAACGTTTTTTCATGATTTACTCCTGTTTAAAATGGAATTTAGAATTAAATTATAAGGAATGACTGTAATATTTTTTCTGTCTATGAAGAAATAACATCAAAAATGTGGTGCACACTGAATAACCCGCGTAAATTTTTCGATAATTTTTTATGTTATTTCGAATAGACAGAAAAAATATTACAGTCATTCCTTATAATTTAATTCTAAATTCCATTTTAAACCGGAGTAAATCATGAAAAAACGTTGACGACGTCACGGTCACATGACTAAATTATGTCTTAAAATATTCCTTAAATAGTTATTGGGAAATCAGTATCCTGAAATGGAAATCTCAATTTTATTTGAGTAGCTTGATCATCAACATCGTCTTTAACATAACTCCTACAAAATATGACCTCTCCCTATATTTTTTATTAGGGTGGAGCAGCTACCTCTATTGATGCACATTGATGCACGCAATCGCTCTCTTGCTTAAACCGAAGTTTAAGTTGGATTTAACTTTGAATTTCCTTTGATACTTTTTAGATTAATGTGTCTTTGTCAAAGTTGTATCCGCTTTTTCCCTTGTCTGTTGGAAAAAACAATTATGTCAACCCTTTAGGGGCAACGAATATCACTCTCAGTTGTATCGGAGTTTCGACCCTGAGTTGAGTTTCAGGGTTGTCTGCAATTTACATACGAGTATTTCTATGCGGTTGACGCAGAGCAAATATTAAACGTGTCCCTTCATTATCTTATTGCAGTTCTGACAAAATCTTGCCTCGTGCCTTCAAACTTATGCTACACTCAGCGAAAGTCAATATATTCAAATGTATCAGAAGGCTGAAGTAAGTCCTGCTGTGGACTGAAGCCCAGATTTTGGTTAAAGTAATATGATTAGCTGACCTACTCGCTGAAAATTATCTGGTTGCATCCCCCAAAACTAAATAATATTTGGCCAAAACGATTAAATGGAGCATATTTGATATTGAGATTATCACGCGTTGTATCAAGTATATAAAAGTAGAATAGGTTTTTGGATCACCTGGTTACAGCACTATAATTTGTGATTATAAGAATGCGTTCACCAGGTATCCCATATGTACAAATGATTCAATATGGAAGTCAAGTCAGTCTCTTAGATTGATTAGTTTTTATCATGCTGCATTTTACATGTAAATTGGACTAATAGAACAAAGATCAAGATCAACGCATCATGAAACATACAAAAGGGTTAGGAAAATTCCTTAAGGTATATATTTTGTATAGATAGGAAAATATGTACTTATGTTAGTGCAGAGCACTGAATTTTTACCTACCCGACGCGTTGCTTGTGACCTCTAAAATACACGTAGATCTATTACAAATTTATTGAAGATTACTTCAAAACATCAATCGGTATTTGTTTTTTATTTACACTCCGCTCAAAATATCAGAAAGCGTTTTGTTTCTAGGTCTATAAAATGTTTGATATTTAATCTTCTAGATAACAGAGTATGTAACTACTTCATATAGTATACGTGCACGACATTGTCCTAATTAGGAGACATATCATCCGGGTACATAACTCCAATATTTTACTATAACAATCGTCCGGGTTCATTACTGATGTATTCAAATATTTACTACAGCAAAACGTGTATAAGTAATTATATAAT